TTTTTTTTTTTTTGCAAATATACATTCCTCGATGTCACCCAATTCATATTAAGTCCAATATCATTATAATACGTTACTTGGTTCCAAAATTATACTAAATAATACGAGGGTCTGTAAATGCACGTTTCCGCCACAAAGTAGCATCGAGTACCTGGTAGCCAATGTCCAGAATGGTTCAGACTGCAAAGGGTTAAAGTATTTATGAATGAATCGACATGATATCTGGGATTTGCTTTAAAATTTTAGGGAAAAAAGGGTGAGTATAAGTGAAATAAGATTAACAGATATTTTATAATAGGTAAGTTATGTTTATTCTACTGTTTTCTCTATTTTTGCATATGCTGGACATTTTCTGCAATAAATAGTAAAAAAAAAATTGGGTTGAAACTACATTTACCACAATTAAGTTAAAACGTGGTCTACTTTTTAATATATATTTGCTTGTTTCATTTTGTTCCATTTGATGTTACTTGGACATCAAGTTGAGCATAGAATATGTGTTTGCTTTATAATAACGTGATTGAGACCTAACAGGTCCAGCCTACTGACAAGGTCCAGAGATTATTGGAATTTGGGATCTAAAGCTCATGGTAATTGTTGCAGTTGCATATTGGAGACTTAGGGGAAAAAACTAAAGTACTGTTCATCACTGTAGAAAGGAAAAATGTGAAAATTTAGAAAACCTCTAGGTTTCATAAATATAAATGTATATGTATATGTATAATTAGTGCTTCTGCCCCTGCCAGTGGGAAAACAATTGCTCAGTAATCTGCCATACCAGTTTTCTTAAACTGGATTCTGTCTAATTATTTATCATATAGGATGTATTTATCATATGATACATGTGGATTTTTTGATATTGGACAATATGTCTCATTTAGCCTCATAAGTTAATTTTATATGCCATCAGCAAACCAGATCCCCAAAATTAAAAATTAGAAGTCTGTTTTCAATGATTAAAAATTAGTTATGCTACATTTATGACAAACAGAAAATATGGGCAAAAATATAACTTCCAAATGCTTGCTGCATATCTTTGTCATCTTAACATTTTAGCATCGCCTCCACCCATTTCTGTAAGACATAAATGGTTGTTAAGTATGGTTAAGGCCCTTTTATTCTACTCCTTCTCCTTTTTCTTCCCCTAGAGCTGACCCTTGAGCCAGGATTTGATATTTGTTACTTCTGTTAGTTTTTTTTTTTTTTTTTGCCTTAATGGAACCATAATTCCTAAGTTTTGCTCAATGATTTCTTCTCCTTGTCCTCTTTTTAGTTTTCTGTGATGACCTATTATCCCTCAACGAGAAGTAAAGATCAATTTTCATCATTCCCACTTCACTTTGATAGCTGTCTACTTCAATCTACCTTGTGGTTTCAATTATTTTTGTTCTAAAAAAAATAGGTATTAATTTCAGTAGGCTAGTTAATTGATTTTCTCTAGTTAATGCTTGAAGCTATAATATTCTCTTATGTGATGTGTCTTTTCAACGCTCCACCCTTGTGGAGAGTATATTTTTTCCAGGACCTATAGAACTTTTATATTGAAGCACAGTTGAATTTCAACAGCCTTCTCTTGTGTAGAGATAGAGATATTTTTAACAACATAGAAATCAGTAAAAAAATACCTTAAAAACATCTCATTTTTAAAGCAGACAAGATTGGGTTTCATTAAAAAAATTGTTCTGTACCATGTTTGAGAACTCAGAGAAGAAAAAAAATTAGCTTACTCTCAGTGATAACCATTGTTTTCTATTTTTGCTTTTAGTTAAAATATGGACAGTATTTTTTTGTATAGCAAATATATTCTTCATTCTTTTTAAGAAATACATTTCTCTTGTCCACAGAACTATAGGGGTCTTGACTTAACCTCTTTTTCTATGTGAGTTTTCATCACAGGGTCCTTTTGTAACTGACATAGTTTACATTTCGTTAGTTCTTTTTTTTTTTTTAAGATTTATTTATTTTTGTACAAGAGCTGGGGTACAGGCCAGAGGCGCGGGAGGGTGAGAGGATTCACCAGAGACAGAGTGGGGAGCAGAACAGGCAGACTGACGAAATACACTGCTGAGGGGAGCAGCAGGCGAGACAGGAGAGGTCTGCCGTGCCATGTGGGACCCTAGCCAGCCAGCCGGGATCGAACCAGCGCTGCAGAGGCTGCAGACAGCTTCACAGCATGTCACTCAACCAGCTGCATCACCAGGGGAGGCCCATTTCATTAGTTCTTAATATGTCTGCTCTAATCTATTTGCTTCATATATTTAGTATTTTTATTTTTGAAATAATTTTAGTGTTGCAAGTGATTTTGACTTTAACATTCTCTAAAGAAGGACATTGGCCATTTAAATCGTCCTACTGAAGGATCAAGCCCACAGGCCATATATTATAGTTCTGGTTTTAGAACCCATTCTCTTGGAAGGCTTAAGTAGTTTGTGTAGAAGTTACTGTTTTTACCTTCATTACTTTAGTATTCTTTTCTATTTGGCCTAAGTGCTTCAGCTTTCCCCATCACATGACAGTTAAGTTTGTACAGATACTTTTCAACCAGTATTCATCAAACACTTGTACTGTGACATGCACCATGTCCCCTGGCCTCAGTCACCCCCAATCTGTATATGAACTGTATGAAAGCTTATCATCAGACTACCCCAGTAAGAGTATTTAATATTTTTTTAAATTAAATCCCTACTTGTATTAAGCATTATATACATTTTTTTAATTTAAATAATAAATTTTATTTTAATATTCCCCCATACAATTGCAAACGCCCCATTCTGACCCCAATCCCTCCCCTCCCGCCCCCCACCCCCCAAAAAGTGTCTCTGGTTCATAGTTTTTTGTTGATTTTGATTTTCACTTTCTTATATTCATTTTCCTGGTCCCTTATTTAAGTTTTCTAGATTCCTGCTATGAGTGAGACCATCCGGTATTTTCCTTTTTCTTTTTGGCTTATTTCGCTGAGCATGATCCCTTCCAATGCCATCCATGTTGCTGCAAATTGCATGTGTTTATCTTTTTTGAATGCTGAGTAATATTCCATGGTGTATATGTACCACATCTTCTTGATCCAGTCATCTATTTTTGGGCATTTGGGCTGTTTCCAAAGCTTAGCTATTGTAAATAGTGCTGCTATAAACATAGGGGTGCAGGTGTTCTTTGGAATTGATGTTTCTGTGTCCTTTGGGTAAATACCTAGGGGTGGAATTGCTGGATCATATGGAAGCTCTATGTTTAGTAGGTCCAGAAATCTCCATACAGCTCTCCATAGTGGTTGGACCAGTTTGCACTCCCACCAACAGTGCAGAAGAGTTCCTTTTTCTCCACACCCTCGCCAACATTTGTTGTTGTTAGTTTGTTTTAATATGTGCCATTCTCACTGGTGTAAGATGGTATCTCATGGTAGTTTTGATTTGCATTTCCCTGATTACAAGTGATGTTGAACACTTTTTCATATGTCTGTTGGCCATTTGCATTTCCTTTTCAGAGAAGTTTCTTTTTAGCTCTTCTGCCCATTTTTTGACTGGATTATTTTCTTTGTTGTTGCTGAGTCTCATCAGCTCTTTGCAGATTTTTGTGATCAGTCCTTTATCATTAGTGTTGGGTGCAAAAAAAAAATATGGAACGCTTCACGAATTTGCGTGTCATCCTTGCGCAGGGGCCATGCTAATCTTCTCTGTATCGTTCCAATTTTAGTATATGTGCTGCCGAAGCAAACACAAGCATTATATACATTTTAATGTGTTTTCTCTTTGAATCCTCACAGCAGTTTTGACAGGTAGAAATAACTATCATCATCTTCATTTTTCAGATGAGTAAACTAAGACCCAAATACATCATTTGTCTAAAATCACTTGGAGATAGGGTTGGCAGATAAAACAAAGGATGCCCAATTAAATTTGAATTTCCAATATATAACTAGTAAACTTATGTGAGTTTAGTAAAGTATGTGCCAAATATTACAAACTCTAGTAACCCTATCAAACAGATTTAATTATTCGTATATACAGATTTAATTATTTGTGTAAAAATACACATTTTCCTTTTCTTTTGGTAAGTCAAGGAAATGCCACTTAAATAAAGTACTTAACAATGCTTTGAAACATGTCTTACATGTTCTCAAAAGTTGAGAAGTTATAAAATACAGATGATGACTTGAAAGAGGCTTTTACTAAGAATTGCCAGAGAAGTCATCTGGCTCTACCAGAGGATCATGAAGGAAAGTAAGGAGCATTTTTCCTAGTGAACTACCACAGTGTGAGATTAGGCTTTTAGTTTTGCATATATAGAAACTGACTTGCAGAAACTAAAGAAGAAACAAATTAAATAACACGCATTACAATTAATACTTCCAGTTTACTATTCCAGCAGAACTGTAGACCGCATATATTTAAAGAAAAGCAGTCTGAAAATTAATGAGGACTTAGAGTCAGGGGATATGGAAATGGGAGTGGTTTGTTACTTAGTGAAACCTGCCTGTAATTAAAGGATATCTATGGAAAAAGATATCCAGAAGGATTGGATAATAGTGAGCAATAGCAAAGGCAACATTTTGGAGAAAAGCTTATTCATCATCATAACTTAATGCTTAGGATAGGGCAGTGTTAAAAGCAATAGAGTGAGCACCATAAATGAAATACAGTCGTAAGACCTTGGAGAATTTATTTGATCTCTCTTGAGCGTCAGTGTCTTCTTTTATTTAATGGTAGTAATAAGGTAGTTACTATGGAAATTAGCTCTGAGGTATGGATAGTATTTAGTGCAGTGATTTATACACAGATGTACCCAGTGAATGAAAGCTATGCTATTGTGGGTGGTAAGTTCATTGTGGAAGAAGCAAAATAAACATTTGAATGAAAACCCTGAAATTATGATTGCAACATGCAAGTTCAGGTTGTGTTTAGCCACCAAAAATATTTGTCTCAAATATAATTTTTATATTTTGGTGTTTTAATGAAATATTTTGAAGTAAAATCATGCTCAGAATTTTTTAAATTCTCCTACAGGAAAACAGAGAAACCGCTTGGAACCAATGGATACCATATTTGTGAAACAGGTGAAAGAAGGAGGGCCTGCTTTTGAAGCTGGGCTATGCACAGGTATTGAATAATACCTCTACTTTCTTTATTTACTTCTTCCATATTTCGTTTTCCATATTTTCTCTCTGCGTTTTTCTTTCTTTTTCTAACAGTACTAACATGATGTTAGTTAGTAATAATTAACATCAGTTTATCACTGTTTTTGCACCTATTAGTTATATACCTTTCTTCCTACCAAATGAACAGGTTTGAAGAAAGTTATATTACTTTGTAAACTGTAGGCATTTTAAGTTACCACTCAGGTAGGGAACTCTTGGATGTCCTTTTAAAAAGCCTATTTCGTATACACTTAATTTTGATGAAGGATCATGAAGTAGCAAAATGATCAAGATTATTGATGTAGTTGAAATACCTTGAAAATCCAACTTCTACTACGCTGTTTCTGGGTAATCTGTATATCCTTTTCCTTATTAAGATGAAAAATACATTACCATGTAAATCAAAACCATGTTCATGCCCACATTTAAGCTCTGTAATACAGCACTTATCAATAAATAAAAGAAATGGAGAGAATACTACAAGGAAATCAGCTGGACTAATATTAGAAGTAAAATAATTATTGAAAACTATTGAATAACACTTATCAGTAATGACTGGGTAGACTGAGAATAACTAGTACTACAACTCAGAAAACAATGTATTTTGTGGTATATTGTGGTCACTCGGTGATTATATCTTTTGAGGTTTCTAAATTCGTCAGTGACTAGAATTCTATACTTAAAACAACTGTATTTTATAAGAAGCTGTGTATATTAAAATTTAGATTCATTTTTGTAACAGATACATTTAAATGAGCAAAGATAAATCAAAAGTAAGTACATTACTCAAATATTTTAGAAGTATTCAGAAGTGACTTTTATTGAGGTATAATTGACATATAAGGTGTTAGTTTCAGATGTATAACATAATGATTTGATATTTATATATGTTACAAAATATAGTTAATACCTGTCACCATACATAGTTACAAAACTACAGATATGCACTACAGTATTAATTGTAGTCTCCATGCTGTGCATTATATCCCTGTGACTTACTTGATAACTAGAAGTTTGTACCTCTTGATCCCTTTCACCCATTTTGCTTACCCTCCACATTTTGCCTCTGGCAACTATCAGTCTGTTCTCAATAAGCTTGGCTTTTGTTAATTCCACTAAGCTTGTTTTTTGTTTGTAATTCCACATGTAAGAAAGATTCTATAGTATTCATCTTTTTCAGTCTGAGTTATTCACTTAGCATAATACCTTCAAGGACCATCCATGTTGTTATAAATGGCAAGATTTCATTTTTTTATGACTGGATAATCCATTGTGTATATATATATTTTCTTCATTCATTCATTCATTCATTCAGTGAAGGACATTTAGATTGTATAGTGTAAGAAAGTGGTCCAGATTCACTCTTTTGCATGTGTCTTTTCAATTTTCTTAATACCAATTATTGAAGAAATCGTTCTTTCTCCTTTTATATCCTTGGTTCCTCTGAGTTGTAAATTAATTCACCAACTATATGTAGCCTTATTTCTGAACTCTGTTCCACTGATATGTGAATCTGTTTCTGTACCAGTATCATACAGTTTTGATTACTATAGCCCTGTAATATAATTTGAAATAGGGGGTCAGAAGTGAATTCTATAAGAAATTCCTCATATGTTCTTTTACTCCTCTTTGAAGGTGACCGAATTATAAAAGTCAATGGAGAAAGTGTTATTGGAAAGACCTATTCCCAAGTAATTGCTTTAATTCAGAACAGGTAAGATTCATGAAATGTGATTAATTTTGGCCAAAGATGGGTTTTACCAATCAGTGGAGCAAGTGTGTTTAACACAGTTTTGTATTACTGTAAGGAATAGGTGTGATGATGGAACTTTCCCTTAAAGTGGATAATGCTTTTGAAAGTTGCTAAGTATAAAATATGTGAGGATAGCTTAATTGGTGACTTTGCTGTGGCAAATTTTAACATTTGTGATTAAAATTCTCTAGTTGAGTCCAAAGGCACATATTTTAGACTTACTGTAAGTTACTCATTTTTATATGAAGTGAGAAACATAATTTGTTTATAATATATAAATAAATGCATATATAATTTATTTTAAAGCATCATACTGAGACAAATTATATTTAAATAGCTTATTGAATAATATTCCTAAAATTTGTGTATTTGTCTTAACCACAAGAGTAAGAAATTCTCTTTTAATTCATTGTCTGCCTACATTCTACAAAATGATAGAATTTTGAGTTCTAAAGGAAAATACAGATTGACCATCTATGGAACTTCAAGGATAAGTGAATCCTATTCTCTCTGTCATACACCTAGAAAACATTTTTAAGTTATGAAGAAATTGAAAACCACAGAGATTAAATTTCTATCAAAAATAGGTCTTTACTCTGAGATCTGGTTCCCAGATTATTACTATTGTAAGAGGTTCTTTCCAGATTTAAATACAGTAACTTTTGATTACCCATTGCTTTATATTAGCCTTACCCACCTGTCTAAATTAAAGCAAAGTTCTTTATTTTCTGTAGTTTTTTATCAAGATTCTCTAACCATGTCTAAAGCAGTTCATGCACTAAATTATTCATACTAATGACCTAATACATTGTCATTTTTGCAATTAAATGATGTGATCATGGTTTATTGATGTCAGAGCATTCTCCTTAACCATTTTAATATTTAATGAGATTCTTAGGGAAAGTAAATCTTAAATCTTACCTCTAATGTTGGATTCAAGGTATACCTGTTTGATTTTAAAGTATTGAGGACACTTGGGGATCAAGCCTCGAGCGATCCATGCAGATTTTTTTTTCTTGAAATAATTTGGCTCCATAAATATGTCAATATGTTTTGTCAGCCTATATAGTTTAAGGATATTTAGTGTATTTATTAGTGTCTCTTTAAAAATATTTCTTCAAGTAACAATGCTTAATGTTGTTTTCCTCAAAATCCGCATTCAAATTTTTTATTACTGGTGCAATTCATCTTTCAGAGTAATAACACTTATTACAGCCTTAATTTTTCAACCAACCAATAAACCAATTTGAAAAATAGAGAAATAATGGTTTTTCATGATCTTATTTTATTTTAAAAAATTGTATTCCTTTTGTCTGCAGTTGGTAGCAAATGGATAATGCAGCACAAAGCCATTGAGATTCTGCAGTGTATTATTGTAAAAATGTATCCTTGCAGAAGAATTTATCTAAACATCAGTATGTATTTTCTACCAACTCTAAATATTGAAATACAAGTACCTACATATTTTACTAGTTAAATTAATTTGAACCTGTGATTCTTATTGGCTTACTATTCTCTCAGCCTTTATGAACCTAGAAACAAGGGTTCACATCTATCTACATAAAAAAGACACCAGTATATTATTAGTTTTTTTTTGTTGTTGTTGTTGTTTGTTTGATTGTTTCTTAATCTCAGCTTGTATTGAGGAAAAATACTATCTGAAATTGTTAGGTCATTGATGGAAGCCCTTGATGGGAAAAGCACTGCTATCCTTGCTTTGTTTAAATGTACTTCCAGGTCTCATTACTCAGTATAATTTATCCCTTTGAACTTTTTTGAACCTAGAAAAACTTCTATAATTTTTAACAGGAAATTTGTAGTACCAAAAGACTTTGAGCTATTCCTGTAAAAACTTTAAAATTAAGTTTAGAGAAGAAAGGTAATAGTTCAAATGCTGTATTGTTTTTAAAAAATTAAGGGGTGATTTTGATAGTCTTGATAGTGAACTTTGGTCTCCTTCAACTCTGCAGGCAAGAGGGAATATTTCAAAATTAGAATATTTAATATTGTTTAAAATGTTAAATTTGTTGTGGGTTCTTTGGTTACTCTTATGTTAATATATTTTTAACTGGATAAAAATAGTGAGAATATGGTAAAATTTAAAATTTTTTTCTATACATGGAAGTAAAATAATGAATAGTTATATATTGAGAAGTTTTGTTCCAGGACTGTTTAATTAATGTTCTTTATGTTTCTAAATAAGAAACACATAAAGAAGACTTGATTGAGATTATGAATAGCTCAAACATATGGCAGGGTGTTCTCTTTTGCATGGAATTATTTTATATGTATAAAAGCAACTTCATTTTAATGAGTTGGATGTGAAAAGTAAAGAATTTAAAAACCGATTTAAACTCATTAACAATTAAAAATATTCCGAGTTAACTATTTCTCTTTTATATCTTTCTTAAACATTTTCACCTCCCCTAAAATAATATATGTGTATTCAATTTCAGTGATACAACATTAGAACTTAGTGTTATGCCAAAAGATGAAGATATTCTCCAAGTGGTAAGTTTTATTTAAATATAAATTTTTTTATAGTCATGAATGTTGTAAAATAAAAATCCTTTAAGATGGAAGTTGACTGAATAAAAAATGATTCTGAAGGGGGAAAAAACCCCTCTGGTTCATTTAGCAGTCTGAATTCTGTTCCCCCCCCACACTCCAAAAAAAATCATATTGTCAATACAGTTAAGCAACATGAGACTATTTCATTGATTACACAGTGATGTTTAGTGTTGTCATTTGGAATGGAATTCCTAGAGTTTGTTTCATTGTTTTATTAATATAAATAGTCCTTTGACCAAACGCCAAAGCTCAGGGTACAAGTACATAGCTCTAGGAATTAGAATCTTTTTTTATATACAAGGACAGAAATTTTATGATGGACATTTCCCAATTTTCCAATAAATATAACTGTTTGTAAATTTACTTTGCAAGCAGTTTGGTTAATAGTATCAATTCACTGCATCAGAAGTAATGTTCACAATTGAAGGAAAGTTTTGTTAGGGTCTTCATGAAGAAAGGGAAGTAGCTATATTGCCTAAAACTTTGCATTTAGTCTAAAATTTTTTTTCTCAAAAATAAATTGATTGAAATACTTAACTCCTTTATTCATGTTAAGTATTGCTTAAGGCAAACATGATAAAATAGATAAATTTCATTATAGAAAATAATACTTTTTCTAACATGACTTTGCAGCTCAGTAGAATAAAGCAGCATGAGCAAAACCATTTAGAACACACTGAAAGCCAACAATTAAATCTAAGAAATGGCAATGGCCATTGAAGTTTGTGTGTTTTTTAAGTTCCTTTTGGTAAATAGTTGTGTTTTTTTTTCCCCCATTTAAGAAAAATAGGAAACTTGGGGAATCTTTGTGGTGGGAGTAGAAATAGGAATGTTTTTCATTGGTAAGGCAGTTGTTGCACTTCACTCACTAAAAAGTCTTAAATAATCTTCTGTAAGCATTTTTATAGAAAATACCACTAAAGCTGATTGTAATTATTTGATTTCTTCATTGTCGTGTAAAATATAATTAGCTAAAGTCCGTGAAGATCAACTTATGTTCTTCAAATTGGTTGCTTTCATTTAGTATATGTGCTGCCGAAGCGAGCACTGGTTGCTTTCATTTAGGAGTAGCTTCTTATTGATAACAAATTACCTTTTTTCAGGACAGGGAATTGGGAGGGATCCCAACGGGGAAGGTGCAGCTATCCCCTATAGTTTTCCCAGGCAGATGGAGTTCACTGTGGGGTTTCTATCCTGATAATTCAGCTTAGTGAGTGAGCAGCAGACATAACCATTGGAGGCAATGGATGTCATAGATGAGCAGTAAATAGGGGATTCTGTCATGTTCCATTACACAGACATGATGATTAGATCATCTGGGCATGTAGCGAGCCCTTCCCCTTCAATCTGCCTTGCAGTCCAATGACTGAGACAGAATGCACTTCCAAACTAAACTCTCTCTCATCTTCAGTGGATTCTTTCCTTTCCACGGTGAAGGTACTGGAACAGTAGAAATTGCAGTACTGGAAGGAGTAATGTTCTGATGATGCGATCATTAGATCATTAGATCATTAGATTACTTGGTTTGATTATGTTTTATTTGGAATGAATACATTTAAAGTAAAGATAAAATTCAAAATGTGCAAATACAGGGAACATTGGGATCAGTAGATTAATTGAGCACACAGATCTACCAGCTTCATCAGTAAAGGTTTCTGGTATATTGTAAGTTTGTTTTTAAAATATGTTATTTCAATTATATTTATCATAAGATATTAATAGCATATACCCTTAATGGTAAAGGAGAATTTTACTTTAAACCTAAGCTTCTTTCATAGATGAATGTGCCAGATCATTTATTTGGAAATCAAAGAAATTTATATGATTATTGCTTACCATATAATGTTCCCTAAAGGACATTAGGATGTGGCAACTGCCTTCTCTTTACATATTTTTAGCTGGAATATCTACAAGTGTCATTTTTTAAGCTATTTTAAAACACAAAGAAAACCTAGGATTTTATAAAACATATGTAAGAAATACTTCTAACAGATCATAGAGCTAAAATGTTCAATAAGGGACTCTCAGAAATATTTATGTTGATTTTAATGTTATACAAAGATGTATTTCTTTTAAAGATGTATTTCTCCCTGTGAAGTGGAATATTCATTATATAGAAAGAATAAACATTAATATTTTACAGCCATTATGAAAATTATTGACCCAAGCATGGAGCTTAGGCTCCCGAAGGGACAAATGAACCAGATTATTCTAGAGATGTTCAGCTCACTTTTGAAAGGTGGCTCAGAAAATTTAATTTGGTTTAAAATTTTACTCATGTAAGGACAGTATATAAAAATAAATTTCCTAATTTATAGATAACAGTGATACCATGTTAAAAACCATATGGTAAATTTAGAAATAATTCATTATGTTATTAAACAAATGCAGATAATAGTACTCCTATGCCCGGCAACCTAGTTTTTCCAACCAACGTGTATTTTGTAGATTAACTATGAATCCTGTTATATTCATTTTAGTCATTTTGACAGTATTTTATAATGATATATATTTTTCATATTTTTAAAGTATTACAAAAAAACCACTTCCTGTTTCATTTTCAAAAAAACAAATGGTTTTGTTATCCTTTGAAATGGTGTTTACCCTCTGCTTTTTATCCAGTACTGTAAGATACTTTGTTAAGTATTTGGCCCCAAAATTCAAGTTCAAAACTATAATTCAGGTTGATCAGTTCTGATAGTTGTGGAGACTTGTGAGTCTGTCTGATGTTTGGCTGGAGAGTGTTGAGCCTACTCAGTGTTGGTCTGTGTTAAACACAGAAAGATTGATCAACTTTTCCAGTTTAACAGGGAGGAGAAAGTAATAACACTAGAATTTAAACTCAGACAGATCTGAGACTAAAGCCTTTAAACCACACGCCTGTACTCCCTCTGGGTTGAAATGAGGAGTTTAACTGGCGCACAGTAATAGTGTGGAGCCCTTGTTCTCTCTCATTTCTGGGCTGTATAAGCCACTTGGTGAATATGTGCTATACATGAAAAATGTAATTTAACTTAAGTTTTTCTTTAGATCTACTATAATTACTTTCAAAATAAGTATTTAATATGTTCCACAATCAGTAGAACACTCTATTTAAAATGAGCTACTCATTTGTCAAGTGGGTCAAATTTGTCCTTGAGTTAGGGAAACCAGAGTAGGAACTCTGAAGGGTGCTTTCATATTCTGCATGTCTGTAATTTTATTCTCTTTTAAAATCTATTTTCAAGTAATTATAAGAATAGTACATGACTGTTAGAAAAGTTTTGATAATTTAGAAAGGTATAAAATATACTATCCCCTTCACCCTCACTGTGGCACAGCTGTCATATATTTTACCATACAGACAGACTTGTAGTTATTTTTGCTTTTATCATAGTAAAAATTTACCTATGATAAACTTAATAGATCACTAAACTAACTTAAATTTAACAGATCACTCTGCTTACAATGAAATGATAGGAAGGAATTTTAATCTTATCAGTTTGGTTTTTTTTTTTTTTATTCTGCAGATCTTCTTTTTGTTTTCATTTTCCCTTTTACCATTTATTAGAGAGTAAACATAGTATAGGGATAGCATAGTTATAGTTATGTGATACTGACTTTGATGCAACTCTACTAAAATTAAACTGAAAGATTATTTTAGAATTACTTAGTTACTGTTAGGCACTTTACTTATATTTAAGATCCAGCCTGTTAATATTAAATTTTATTTAACATACTTATTACAATTCTAATGCCAAGTAATGAGTTCAGTTGGTCATCTTTCTTTTCTTACTTTCTCTCTGTGCCCCCGCCCCTCCTTTTAATCTCTAGACATAATAGAGCTGCTCCGATTCTATTTTTATTAGGCATAACTTTACTTTTAAAATATAAACTTTTAAACTACTTAATTGCTATCAGGTAGAAAACTTAAGTATAGGAGTGAAGGAAATTCAAGAAAGAATGTGGACAGGGATTTAAAGGGCTAGATGAGAAAACTGGCTCAAATTGTTTTGTCATATCCTATTAATTTCACAGGACAAATCAGTTGGGGAAATTTAAATTTTGTCTAAATTGACTAAAACATCTGCATATATTATGAAGTGTTCATTTGGGCTTAAAACAAATGTAAAAATCAGCATTATTAAGAGCCGACTACGAAATTCTTATGATACTGTTTTCAAAAATCTCTAGGCCATGCCATTTCAAATTAAAGTAGGATGATTACATCACTACCAGTGAATATAAATTTGCATCATTATGCTTAAATAGTATTTTATGTTGTTTATTTTTAAAGATTTATTTATTTATGCATCCAAGAACTGGGGTACAGGCCAGTGTTATGATGGGGGTGAAAGGATTTACCAGAGACAGAGTGGGGAACAAAAAAGGCAGATTGACTGAAATACACTGCTGAGGGGAACAGCAGGTTAGTCAGGAGAGGTCTGCTGTGCCATGTGGGTAGCTCCCTGGCCAGGGATTGAACTCATGCTGCAGTGGCTGCGAATAGCTTCATAGTGCTGCATCTTAACCCCTTGCACCACCAGGGAGGCCCCTTATGTTGTTTAATTGGTGCCCACTGACAATTCAGAGATTCCCAATGCATAATTAAAACATCCATCTGTAGACCATGATGTCTCAAAGAAAGATTTGGTACAAGCACCCAAGACAAAGCATGCCACCATCACAGCTATGAGCAGACTATAGAGTTTTCAACTGTATTCCCAGAATATAAAACCTTATCAGTGGTTTCCATGTTCACCTAAAAGAGTGGGGTGTTATGTAATCATTCCAGATGACCCACCCAGTGTTTACCTCAGCCATGTGAATGCTTTCCTCCTTGAAGGAGCCTGGAACTTTCCTTAGTAAACAGTTAATCTTCTAGGGGAACTCTTAAAAGCATCATGGAAGAAGAGAATCCCTTAAAATGCATATTGCCTTTTTCTAACTTCCCTAAATTTATTCTGGAATTTATATTTATAGTTCCAGAATTATTCCCAGATATGTGCATGTTTTACTTGGGCCATACACTAAGCTACAGTGGCCTTAGGACACTGCTAATTTTCCCATGATGTTGACTGAATAGTATTGGGTCTTAAACTTTTTCATAACGAGGAACTTAAAAAAAAAAAAGATACATATGGGGTGGAGGGAGAGTGTCTGTTTAGAGTAATGGGCTATAAACTGAAAAGAAAATGTGAGGAAATTCAGTGATGTTCTAGGAATGAATTCATACTGCATTTATTTCAACTATATCTGCTTACATTAAACAACAGTACCATACCTGTATGGCATTCTGTTTACTCAACTCAGTCTGCTGTTCATTCATGGTGTATATGTGTGTATATTTAAGGCGCTCTAGCCATAACTACCCTGAAGTGGGGACCAATGATGATAGACTGTTGAGTATTTAGGGATTGTTATGTGGAACTCTTAGAGTTGTTTGAAGTGTGTCAAATATTTTTTTTAAGCATTTAGTTAGTTAGGACTATTGTTATAGTTCCAGTGACTGGGACTTTATTCTTTTACTAAAAGAATAATATTCTTTCCTAAATTTGAATAAAGAATAGTAGTCTTTTATTCAAAGGATAATAATCTTTAAATTGTTAGTTCTAGAACAACCTTTCCCAGCAGAAATTCAAATCATGTTACAATCTCTGGGGGGTAAAAATGGCTTCCTTGGTCAAATATATTTGCACTATCCTTTCAAATTTTACAACATACTAATGTAGTAGAGGTTTTGAGAAGCCAAGAAGTATACCAACCAGCTTTTCCCTTCCACAGAACACGCCCCTTCTACTTCTTTTCAAGTGAAGCTTAATAAAATCACACAGACATGCTGTGGGATGTAATGTAACAGAGTTCACTCATCCAGACACAGTTTCCTATATTGGTGTGAATATAATCAGCATTAAAAAGATAGGCTTATTGTGTTAGTGCACATACTTAAAATGCATATTTTAATTGACTGTATTTGTGTCTTAAAGATATTATGGCATGCATTTTTTTAAACTTGGTCCTAATTTACGTTATCTTAATTTCTCACTGCATTCTAGTTTATTCTCTATAATATTCATTGTAAGTTAAAATGAATTACGCTGGGAGTAATATTTTTGTGTCTGTTCAGTATTGTCACAACTAATAAAACAGTACAAAAGGTAGAGTGTTAAAAGGTCTTAATTTGGGGATGAATTGTATCTGATAAAAACAGTCATTCTTTTTTTCCAAAATCATAGTGAATAGCAACAGCAGTCAGCTGACAGCTTGTGGTTATGCTCTGATTTACAGGGGAAGGAGGAGGTTGTACTATTTTAAATGCATAATAGAGCATTTGTTTCGTCATCTGGAAGCAGAGATGGAAGAAGCTCAGGGGAAATGAGAGACATCAATGTTGCTCTCGTGGAAGGGAAGCTTTGTAGCACGTTATCAGACAGCAGTGCATATTGAAGAAAATATTTATTAGGAATGCATGTCACCAGAAGTATTTTGCTTTCAAGAACGGTAGACAAATCAAATAAGAACCTGAGAAAAACCTGGGGGAAAGATGCTCAGAAGGATACTGAAGTTATTCTTTATGCTTCACTTCCCTTTACCTCTCTTGGTACCTTCCAGAGAAATCAGTATAGATGTATTTTTAGCTTGCTGTTTCCAGCATCAATATGACAACATGATTCTGTCTTTATGTCAGTAAGCAGCTTCTACTATGTTTTCCTATTTTCTGCTAGCTACAATTTACAAAGGATGTCACAGCTCTGGTAAGAAATGCACAGAAGCCATTTCCTTGCTTTTTAAGTAACGTTTTGTAAATTTGTAATAAGTCAATCTATTAAAATTGTGAGTTTGCTTAGAGCAATCCCTTGATAGAGTTAATCTTACTAATTTGCAGAATGTGTTTGTGACATGCGGTTTTCTTTATTTTTTATTTTATGTTTGGTTTTCTTTTGTATCCTGTACATAACTGGCATTAAAACATAATATTTATCTGCACTTGTATTTTTTTAAGTCTCTCACCTTCTTTCTTTCCCTAATACTTTGCTGTTGTGTTATGTTTGTGGCTGCACTTGAGCTTTGCTAGCTGTCTAATGCAAAGATAGGATATGATCATAGTCTCGAATTGTTCTTGTTTTGATTAGGGGACGATATGTAATATGACATCACACCTAACTGTCTCTGATGTGGAACACAGTCCTGAGTTGCATTGATTGGCTGTGTTTTGTAGAATAGCTATTCAAATTCAGTTATTCTTAAGGTTTTACAAATATTGTTATCTAATTTCACAGTTGATAGTTATTATTTGAGGTGCATGCCTGCCTATTTATAATAATGTCTCCTTATGATCAGTGAAAGAGACCAAATAAATTTGTACATTATTATTTTGTATTAGCTTAAGATAAAAATACAAATTATATAAAAATGATGAATTATCTTTTTTCATGTTCAGATCTCTAATGTATGTGCTTGATTTCTTAAACATGCATATACATCTCTAATTAAAATATTTAGCATGGCTGTTTAAAGATTTAATTTATCAATATTATTTCTAGTGATTCAGTAATCATTAATTGACAAGACACTTCAATTATATTTATGATAACAGTAGTGCTTAAAATGTATTTGAATAAGATTTTTAATACCTTCACCTTCACTCTGGCAAAAGATCAAAATTTTCTTTTGCTGAGATTTATTAGGCAGCCATTTAACCTGCCGACTGCTGAAAAATCATAAAACCTGAATGGGGAAAATCTTAGGAGTAACATGACTATATCTAATTGGTTGAAGGAAAATTTCATGTTTCAGATCTTTTGAGAAATGAGCAGTTTAATTTCTATTTGTTGCAAATTCTACAATTTATTTGATTTCTGAAAGAGAACCCCTTTCCAATTTTTGGAGTAACTTTGTGTGTGTTTGCATGCATGCTGTAGTGAATGTCATTCAAGAACAAGGTAGGGCACTGTACAACAGTGCACTGTAAGAACAGAAATTACTGTCCATTTTATGAATCTCAGATGACACTTTTATGACACTTTTCTTTCATTTCCATGTAGGCATATTCTCAGGATGCCTACCTGAAAGGCAACGAAGCCTACAGTGGCAATGCCCGCAACATACCTGAACCACCACCAGTTTGCTATCCTTGGCTGCCATCTGCCCCTTCAGCCATGGCACAGCCCGTTGAAATATCTCCTCCAGACTCATCTTCGAACAAACAGCAGACCAGTACACCAGTACTGACACAACCTGCCAGGGCTTATAGAATGGAAATACAAGTGCCTCCATCACCAACAGATGTTGCAAAGTCAAACACAGCAGTGTGTGTTTGCAATGAAAGTGTAAGGACTGTCATTGTGCCTTCTGAGAAGGTTGTAGATTTGTTAACTAATAGAAACAACCATACAGTTCCTTCACATAGAACTGAAGAAGTGAGGTATGGCGTAAATGAACAGACCTCTTTAAAAAATGTGTCAAGAACCACATCACCATCATCATCAATTCCCACTGCCCACCTAATTCAGCAGACAACAGGTGCCAGGTCATTGGAGCCTTCTGGAATTTTACTTAAATCTGGCAATTACAGTGGACATTCAGAAGGAATCTCAAGCAGTAGACCTCAAGCTGTGGATTCTCCTTCTGTATCTGCTAATCATTATTCTCCAAATACCCATCAGCACATAGATTGGAGAAATTATAAAACTTACAAAGAGTATATTGATAACAGACGATTGCACATGGGTTGTCGGACAATTCAAGAAAGACTAGATAGCTTACGAGCAGCATCTCAGAGCACAACAGATTATAATCAGGTGGTACCAAACCGCACCACTTTGCAGGTACGACGTCGAAGCACCTCTCATGACCGAGGGCCTCAGTCTGTCCAGATCCGGCAACGCAGCGTGTCCCAGGAGCGGCTGGAGGATTCAGTGTTAATGAAGTATTGTCCCAGAAGTGCATCTCAAGGAGCACTGACATCTCCAGCTGTTAGTTTTAGTAATCATAGAACTCGTTCATGGGATTATATTGAGGGGCAGGGTGAAACTTTAGAAAATGTCAGTTCTGAAAATCAAATACCTGATTCAAATGGAGAGCGAAAACAGACTTATAAGTGGAGTGGTTTTACTGAACAGGATGATAGACGAGGCATTTATGAAAGATCTAGGCAACAAGAAATTCATAAACCTTTTCGAGGTTCAAATTTCACTGTGGCTCCAAGTGTTAATTCTGATAATAGGCGAATGACCTGCAGAGGACTGGGTTCTGCGTCTCAGTTCAAAAAAATACCACCGGATCTAAAACCACCGCAGTCAAACAGAAATTTTCAAACTACTTGTGGAATGTCACAGTCTCGAGGTATTTCACAAGACAGGTCACCTCTTGTGAAAGTCCGAAGTAATTCTCTGAAAGCGCCTTCTACACATGTCACAAAACCATCATTTAGCCAGAACTCGCTTGTTTCTATCAAAGACCAAAGACCAGTAAATCACTTGCATCAAAACAGTCTATTGAATCAACAGACATGGTTAAGAACCGAGAACGCCCCCAGTCACCAGGTGGAGGCTGGGAAAACCCACTCTCAATCTGGAATTTCTGTTAAACCTGTCCCTCTGATAAGTGAGAATTCTGGCACTTCAGATTTAGAATTATCTGTCACTCAGAGGAATCAAGATATAAATTTACAAGAGGCTGAAATTCAGCAATCAAATACTTTGGATAATAAAGATGCTGTCATCCTAAGAGAAAAACCTCCATCCGGTCGCCAAACACCGCAGCCACTAAGGCATCAGTCTTACATCCTGGCTGTGAATGACCAGGAGACTGGGTCAGATACTACCTGCTGGCTGCCCAATGATGCGCGGCGCGAGGTCCACATAAAAAGAATGGAGGAGAGGAAGGCCTCGAGTACCAGCCCGCCTGGTGACTCCCTGGCTTCCATCCCATTTATCGGTGAGCTCATTTACAGCCATTGGCTAATATGTTCCACAAATCTCATCATCAGAGTATTATTCCTAGTTCAGCAGACACAGAACTTCTAATGTGATTTTAAAGCATTTGCTCTGAATTTCCTACATTGTGCTAAATCCAGAGCCATTTTGCCCTCAAAAAATATTTCCTTTTTTTAAAATTTTCCTTTTTAAAAAAAGAAATTGTGTATACTCAATACCTATTTTTTAATGTTTACTTTGATGAAACAAATTCCCACCATCTGGGGCCACACGGCTCCACAAACTAAATTGTACCTAGTTGGTGACTCATCTGAATCAAGAGCCAAGTAGAATAGTTCTGATTATTAGTAAACAATCTTTCATTTAAACAGTGCTTTTTACTGCCTAAAGCTTATTTCTTTGTAAATTTAACGGGTTCAAAGAAAGACCTCTTCATTGTCAAATTACTTTATCTTAGAATAAATCCTGGAGTGGGTTTGGAAAAATTACTAAAATTTTTACTGAAATTTACTTAAAATTTGCTTAGATGACAAGCTTGTGCCCCCACCTAGAATTGCTGTTCTGTTTACTGAGACTTTCATCTGTTCCCTCACACTCCCAGTACATTCTCCACAAAGCAGCCAGTATGATGGTGATACTCTTCTCAGAACCCTCTGTGTACTTCCCGTGTCACTCAGAATAGAATCTGAAATCCTGCATTCCTACGAACTCTCTACTACCTCCCCATCATACCGCTTACCTCCCTGACCCTATATCTGTCTTCCATGGGCATCCCGCCTGTAGCCTCGCCAACCTTCCTGCAGTCCTGGGACATGGCCGCCCCAGAGCCCCGGCACTACAGCCCCAGTCCTGAAACTTGTTCCACGGATATTCACTAAACTCTCTGCCTTACTCCCTTTGGATCTCTGCTCAAATATTACCTTTTAAAGCAAACTTTCCTGACCAGTACCTAAAAATAGGTATGTCCCACCCTCTTACACACACAACACCTGACATTCTGTATTGCCTTAAGCTGCTTTATTTATCTCAGATCACTTGTTTCCACTTGATACCTTTTTTGTCTTTGTTTATTAGATGCTTCCCCATGGAGCTAAAGCATAAGCTATATAGGAGCCAGGATTTAAAATTTTTCAAGGTGTTTGCTTCTGTGTCTTTAATGCCCAGACTACCACCTGGAATATAGATAACACAAAATAAATATTGAAATAATATGTGAATGATAATTTTGAGTTGGTGAATAGAAACAGTAACAAGTCCCCAAAAAAGTTCCATATAATTTCTGGTTTTTATAATTATGATATAGTCAAGTTTAAACATTGTGGGAAATCTCAACCTAAGTTGTACTCACATTGTATCTCTGCTGTCAAGGCCAAATTCAGAAAATAGGATTTTACTGTAGATGATTAATGATTGTTTTATGAATTTTTTTAGTTTAAAAAGCCCTACTACCTGTGATTTTATTTCATAAACCTATAACATCTTATGTTATGTTTTCATCATACTTAGAACAATATAATCAGGTTATAACGGAGTAATAAATATATGCTAGTTATATCAGTTTATATTTTGAAATTTCTAGTTATGATCAAGTAAAGAAATAAACCAAAAGTGAATTTTAGTACTTACCTAGTTTTAGTATCAAAAGTATACTTTCTTTTGCTTCTATTTTTATTGAGTCTTTAGCTCCTTGAGTCATAAAGGAAATCCTATTCTGTAACCTTAAAGTCTAGTGTATATTTATTAGTCTTCTCTAGAGACCTTGTTTTTAAATATTTATATATTTAAATATAAATATATATTTATATATTTTATATATTTATATATTTAAATATAAATATATATAATATATTTGAATATATATATTTATATATTTTAATATATAAATAACAAATCAAAACTTCATTAAGTTTCAGAATTAATTTTGAAAACCTTGTACTATTTAACTTTAAAGTTTTATTTGACCCATAATTATTTCTCTTTTCAGTCTGTTTATTTAAAACTATATAAATTTTAGTGAAATAGACACAAGCATTGGAATGAAATAAGAAACTATTTGTAATGTTTCCCAAAGTATTTTCTAAAAACAGCATATCTATTTGATTAAGCAGAACAAAAAGATCAAATAATTTGACAAATCTTGAGTATAGGTAATTGAGTAAATGTTTGTTTTTAATCTTAGGACTGTCAGAATCATTAATGTGCTACTTAATATTGTAAATTTTCTAAACAGGATATAATACAGTTTTATTTAGAGAATTTCTGTTTGGTATTCCATAATTTGTTGGTATATATATTGCCTATATGCTATTTTATGGAGCATTTAAATTATTTTATGAAATGTTTAAAATGAGAAAATTTCCCATATTTTCCCAGAGAATAAAACATTTGATTTATTGGCATAACTCATAAAAATAAGATAGTACACTTGTACATTTTGAAATAGTGTATCTAGTATTTCTTTTACTCTCTTTAACACACTGGCAAAGTAAAGAAGGCACAGTACTGCAGTATATAAGCATGTGTTCTTGCTTGCCCCACCCACATGCCACCCACATGCCACCCACATGCCCTCATTCAGTTATTCCCCAGAGCAAGTGGGTATCTGTATGCACACACATATGTTCATATATAATTTGAAGCAAATATTATTGAAATTCAGTTTGTTTCATAATTTTCCTTTAAAATGTAATTAGCCCATGGAGAGTGAATGCATTACCTCCCAAAATTCCATGTCATGTCATACAAAAATTGCCTTTGAAATTTTGTTTAATGCTTCATCCATGCACATTTGTCATATTCGCTCCATAGTTTATTTTAAATAAATGAATATAAAAATGTTTTAAATTACTTTGCAGGGAAGGAAATTGATTCTCTTTAAAAATTTATCCTCCAGCATCTTGTTAGATAAATGTTGGCACAGGTGATAACCATACAGCCCTGGAGATAATGGTTGCTCTATTTTGGGACACATTATTTTATCAGCGCATCATCCAATTTTTAAAATTCATCATCTATTTTTCTTTATTTCTTCTCTACATGGATTTATATAGTAGATCTCATCTGAACCACTCCAGTGAATGTTGTCACTACAGAAATATAAAACTGTTACTACTACATAAGTGACATAATTTCTAAAATATCTAGTGTTTTCCTATTGTCAGTATTCATGAATCCATAACAAAATTGAAAACAAGCTGACTCCATGAAACAACTTACTTTATGCATATGTATCATTTGGAAAAACTATGTTAATTGGTGGTGATTTAAATATTAAGGACAGTTTTTAAGAATGCTTTAACTTTTAGTAGAATGTTATCCTTATTGAATTATTTGCAAAGCCTCAGTTATCTTCTTGCTTTTGAAAAAGATTTCATTCTCATTGTTATGATATTAAGTTATCATATACTAAGTAAAATTAATTCATAAAGAGATTTCAAAATGTTTTCTATTGCTAAAATGTGAGGAGCTTTTAAAGAAAATTGTAAAAAATTAAGGTAAGCTTACGACAGACTATTGAGTTTAGACATAAAATGGAAATGTTATAATTTTGTAACATTGGTCATCTGGATTAAAATGCTAATCATTAAAATGCTAGACCATTCTTCGGGGTTGGTCAAAATTAAAATCGTTTGACCTTTTAAATCATGGAATCAAAATCATGTTTCATCATAATAGTATATTCTTTTTTAAAAGATTTTTATTTATTTATGCATACAAGAACTGGGGTTCAGGTCAGAGCTATGCTGGGGTGAGGTTTCACCAGAGAGAGTGGGGCACAGAACAGGCGGATTGACTGAAATACACTGCTAAGGGGAGCAGCGGGCAAGTCAGCAGAGGTCTGCTGCACCATGTGGGTAGCTCCCTGGCTGGGGATAGAACACGTGCTGCAGTGGCTGTGGATAGCTTCATAGGTTGCGTCTTAACCCCTGTGCCACCATGGAGGCCCCATAATAGTATATTCTTGAAAGAATTTCTCTAAGGCTTGGGGCATTTGATTTTAAGGATTATAGTTCTGGCATCCTATTAAATTTCATTCTCTTGGTCTAAAATTCTAGAATTTAAACCACTGTTATTTTACAGAACTAAGACTTTTGAACAAAGCTATTCACCAGTTTGGTAAAGGAGTATAATTTATGCTTAAAGAGTAGGACTGTGGTATTTGACTGTTTGGGTTCAGATTCTATTCCTATGACTTGATAATAACTTCACACAAATTAATTGATCTGTCTGTCTTGGTTTTTATGCTATAAAATAATACTTAAATTATTTCATTTGATTCTTATGAAATTATATGAAGTATTTAGAAATGTGCTACGACCTAGTAAGCATTAGTAATGCATTAGTGATTACTGTGCATCCACATGTATATTTCTGCCCTTGAAAGATAATGATAGGGCTTTGAGAAGCTTAAAATTTGTAACACCTAAAATATTTGTACTTCTACCAGTATATTAATTGGTGGGGATTTAAATATTAAGTGCCAGGGTACTGAGGCATCTCAAGGGGCAAATGTAGATTCCTCCTCTGAGGGAGGGCCCGTATCTACCTGAAGAAGGGGTATCTATTTCCAATTTTCACTGAAGTGCCAAATAACTAGCAGTGGCTGTCTTAGTTCATTGGGGCTGCTAAAACAAAAATACAATAGGCTGGGTGACTGAAACAACAAATATATTGGGTAATTCTGGAGACTGGGAATTCCAAAATAAAGGTACCAGAAGATTTAAGTGGTCAAGTCTAGGGAGGATTCACAACCTGTCATAGATTTTGTATACTCACGGGATGGAAGTTGCAAAGGGATTCTCTGGGATGCCCTTTATAAGGGCACCAGTTCCATTCACGAGGGCAGAGCCTAATCATTCATTCACATCCCAAGAGCCATGCCTCCAAATGCCATCACTTTAGAGACTGGTCTCTACCATAAGGATTTTTAGAGAGGAACATAGATGTTCTCTCTTGGCATTATCAGTGACCCTGATAATGTAACTTCTTCTGGAAGCCATATACTTGACTTTCTTATTTTTCTACAGAAATTGGAGATTCCTATGACTTGAGTTTGTTAGGGGTTTGGAGTGAGGTAAAGTTTTAGGAGTTGATCCTTTGGAAGTAAAGCCTCAACCAGTTCACCTTGCTTAAATGTCCTGAAATAATAATGTGTAATCCATTTAAAATTTGAAAAGTACTTCTTTTAGGCTGGTATATGATTACTGGGTTTTTTTGCTTTATAGATTAAGGTTCTAATTGCCTATTAACTCTGATATCTTGTTATCAGCTAATGAAGGTATTGATTGGTTAGTTGAAGAAGCGACTCATGTAATTTCTTACACCGTAATCACAAAATTATTTGGAATTTGTAGAATAACAACTGTTTAAGTTGATTTTTAACAAAATATGTCATTCCTTGGTTCTTGAGTGCTTAAATGTTAAAATCTTTATCTGATTCTTTCAGTAATGAATATTAATTATCTGTTCTGTTATTGTTATTATCAATGATAATTAGATCATTTAACATTACAATATTTTTATTTTCTTATAGATGAACCAACTAGCCCTAGCATTGACCATGATATCGCCCATATCCCCGCTTCTGCTGTCATCTCTGCCTCCACCTCTCAGGCACCCTCCATAGCAACAATTCCTCCTAGCCTCACAACTTCAGCTCCTTTAATCCGACGTCAGCTTTCCCATGACCAGGGTGCGTTTCAGTGAGTGGTTATATGAACCATCTCTTGAGCATATTTTCAGGTTTCCATTTAGAATAGTATGACAACCGATGATCTTCTTACCATTGAAAAACTGGAAAGCCACCGTAAATGCCTTAAGTGTTGAATTTTAATTACAGAATCTGTTGGACCTCCCAGTCTGGATGCCCAGCCTAACTCAAAGACAGAAAGATCAAAATCGTATGATGAGGGCCTGGATGATTACAGAGAAGATGCAAAATTGTAAGCCAAGGCATATCATTTTAAATATTTGTGAATGATCAGCATGACTGACATATAAATACTGCATTTAATGATGTGTTATAATTTCTGACTCTATGATGTCAGAAATGCAAAAAATTATAAAATCAGTTGTTAATAATATTCATATTTTTAAAAATTAATATTTAAAAAATCAGTAATACACATAGCTATTACTGTATAATTATATTGTTCAATGCATAAAACCACATATATTTATAAATGCTTGTGTTAATGCTAATTGTTTTTTTAAGCAAATAATGAATGCTATACATACTGACCTTGGAGATCATTCAGAACATAATATTCCTGGCTTATTTTTCCTGATTAATTATTCATAAAATAGTAGTATCATGATATATTTGACTAGTAGTCTATATTCTGTGAATAGACATTTAGATTAGTTGACAATACTTCAACAACTACATTTATGCATAGTTCATTTAGCATATATGTGAGCAAATATAGTTGGAAAGTGGATTGTGACATCAAGGAGTATATGTATTTTTTAATTTTAATATACATTGTCATTTGCTTGCTATAAACAATTAAACCACATCACATTCCTACCAACTGTAGGAATTCTTATAAATCTAAATTGAAAATTTTGAATTAATTGGACATCATTCATATATACTTAGAGATAGTCATATTTTTTTTCTTGTGAACTGCTTTTTCATTTTGCCCACTTTTTAAATTGATTTTCCTTGTTGATTTCTTTTTTTTTTTTTTTTTTAAATATTTATTTATTTATTTATACAGCCACTGGGTACAGTCAGAAGCGCGGGAGGGTGAGAGAATTCACCAGAGTCAGAGCGGTGGGGTGGGGGGGGCAGAGCAGGCAGAAGGACCGAAGTACACTGCTGAGGGGAGCAGCGAGTAGCAGGAGAGGTCTGCGCGCCATGTGGGACCCTCCTCCGGTGGCCGGGGAGCAGCCGGGGATCGAACTGGCACTGCAGAGGCTGCGGGCAACTTCGCAACCCAGCGCTCAACCGCTGTGCCACCTGGGAGGCCCTCCTTGTTGATTTCTAAGGGTGCTTTTCCTTCTACGAAAAGTATTTCAAGTCTTTTTTTTTTAAAGATTTATTTCTTTTATACAAGAACCAGGGTACAGACCAGATGTGCAGGAGGGTGAGAGGATTCACCTGAGACAGAGCGGGGAGCAGAACAGGCAGATTTACTGAAATACACTGCTGAGGGGAGCAGTGGGAGAGACAGGAGAGGTCTGCTGCGCCATGTGGGATTTTCGCCAGCCGGCCGGGATCGAACCCATGCTGTAGAGGCTGTGGATAGCTTCACAGTGCGGCGCTCAACCACCTGCGCCACCAGGGAGGCCCCTCAAGTTTTGTTTTTTTTTTTTACTAATTATTTTTCATTTGCTTTTTTTTTTTTTTTTTTTTTTTTTTTTTTTTAGCAACCTAAGAACTTTTTTTGTGTGGTGAAATTTAAGGATTTTTTTTTTTTATGGTCTTTGGATTTTGAGTTATATTTGAAAAACCTTTCTTTCCAGAATCATAGCAGAATTCTTCCATGTTTACTTCACATACTTGTGTACTTTATTTCATCGTGTATTTACAACTTCAATTCATCTGGCAATTGTTTTATTTTAATCAATGAAATGGCCAACTTTATGTTTTCAGTATCTCAGTTATCCCAAAATCATCTCCTGAATATTATATTTTTCCATTGATATATCATCCTTATTTTACACTAAATTATAAGTATTTAATTTTACTTTTAGACTATTCAGATCATTCTGTCTATTTGTGTGTACCAGATTCTGTTATTATGATGTTTTTATTTGATAAGACTAGTCTCCCTAATTACTTTGTGTTTTAGAATTCTACTGGCTAGTTTTTTTTTAATTTGATCTTTAAAATCACTTTCTTGGTCTTCATTTCTTGTGGATATTTTCAGTGACCCAATTTTTAGGGAACATTGACATCTTTATATTGAATCTTCTATCAAAGAACAATTTGTCTTTTTTATTACAGTGTTTTTGTATTCTCTAAAGCGTCTATATTATCATATGTGCCTTCCAATTAAATTAGTTCTTCCAGGACCAACTATTCAAGGGAGATTTGTATGCAGTGTGGCCAGGCAGTGGTCCAGGCTAGCAGAAGTTTCTAATAGTGCAGTATTGGATGTGTGAACTCTTTTAGCCTTTTTTCCTTCACAAAAAGATATCAGCAAACTGCCACATTTCCAAGTTTATTTCACCCAGCACGGACTACACAGTGCTTCTTTCAGTAGGACAGGTTTCTTCTTCTGTCATTCTCACCTCCCCTGACACTCCCTGGTGAGAAATGAGGCTTCTGTCCCCAGTTCTGCAACCCATTTCCTATTGTTCTAAACAAATGAGGTTGGTTTTGATCTCAGAGAACAGTGCCCTGTAGTTTTGCTTGAGATACGCAACCACTGGTGTCCATTTTGTACTTCGCTGCACTTAGCCACTCTTTGCTATTGTCCCCGTACTGTTGGAGATTGAGTTAGCCTCTTGTTTCTGGTTACTTTGTTGTTTGGGGTGGTTTCTGAGAGGAGAGGACAGCGCCACCTTCGGTCACTTTTTAAAATCCTAGGTTCCTTAAATGAATTTGGAATTGAAAAACAACCCTTAAAAACCAACATTGTCCCTTAAATTATTTTGAATAATTAATGTGAACCTTGAGACCTTAGGCCTTTCAGTGGCAAGACCGTTCAGTTGTTCTCTTTATGAAAGCTACTGAGAATGTGGTCAGTGAGGAAGAGCTGTCAGCCTTGACCAGCCCTGACAGTGCTTCTCTGCTGCATTTACAGTTAAGGTGCCCGCAGGCTGGATGCTTGTGGACGTGCTGTTCTGTGTACCTGGCTGTGCAGAGTCACTGCTTATCAACCGATACTAATATCATGGAAACCCTGAATAGGGCATTACAACTATGGTTTGCTAATATTATTAAAGCCCAGTGTTTAACCTGGGTAGTTTTTTCTTTGATCTATCAAAAAAGGATAAAGTCCCGTGCTAATACAGAAAGATGAATTTATCAGATCAACTAGCAAATTTTCTATCATTGAATCGAAAGTTAAGTACTTAGAAAACTGACCGTAAATATTTATCATGGTGATGATGAAATGCCAACTCATTAATGAAAACTGGTAATATTCAAATTATTTTATACATCTTAAGGTATTTTATACAATATTGCAAATAGTTACATTTATATACTTCTTTTTCAACAGGTCATTTAAGCACGTAACTAGCCTGAAGGGAATTAAGGTTGGTATTTAATATTTTAAAATGTAAAACAAATGATAACTATTTCTATTTACTTTCATTTATTTTATCTTGTCATGGAGAATTATTTCTTTTATCATTTAGACATTTCATACTTAAATGTCATGAGCTTTTGTCCTCTAAGTTTTAAGTGCCTTTGGAATGTCTAATATTTCTAATTTCTAAATATGTTCATCAAATATATAATAGTTAACAAACATTGTGTTTATTTTTTCTCTTTATCAGCTTACAACCAAAAATCAAACTACCCAGTGCTTCTGTAGTGTTTCTTAATCCTTAAAATTATTATTTCGTGCCTTCTCTCCACCCTCCCCTGCACAATCTATGTCTTTAATCTACTCTTCCCTCACACTTCACTGAAAAAATGGTTATGTCCATATTTACCATCTCCTAAAATACAAGCCACTTGCCTTAAACATACGCTTTCTACTTTCCTTAATTTTATCTTAAATATCTTTTTACTTGGGGTGTTATTATTGTACACACCAACCACACATTCTTCTTTGGATCCCATTACCTCTTAGTTTCTCAAGTCTCTGCCTCTTTTGCAAAATCACTATTTCTAACAACTCATTCACTATCGTATATTAGCATGTTCTATTATCTCCTATAATTTAAGCTTCTGAATCCACATCCTCCTCTGTTTGCTACTCCTGTTTTTTTCCTTCTGCTTTTCTTGAACACTCCTTGAAAAAATTTGTCCATACTTTCCATTTGCTCACATCACATTTTATTGAACCCACATACATCAAAATGACTCTTTTCAGGGTCTCGCTAGTGGCCTAGGGGTTAAGTCTCAGCACTATCATCACCATAGCATCCTGAGTTCCATCCCCAGCCATGGTGCTAACTCACATATGGCGCAGCAAACCTCTCTTGTCTAGCCTGCTGCTCCCCTCAGCAGTATATTTCAGTAGATCTGCCTGTTCTGCACCCCACTCTATCTCTGGTGAATCCTCTCACCCCCGACACCTCTGATCTACACCCCAGTTCTTCTATGCAAAAATAAATTTAAAAAAAAAGTCTCTCTTCATGCCCAGGTTTTCAGTAGCATCTAAGTTCCAAAACAAATTTTTAATTTATTTGACCTTTCAGTAGTGGCCAATATAATTTCCCCCTCCCTTCCTGAAACACTTTTCTTCTGCTGCTCTTTTCCACTTCTGCCTCTTCCTAACAAGTTAGTACTATTAGTCTTGACCTCTTTCCCATATTGTAGCCCATGTTGCTGACTGGCTATATGACATCTTCATTTAAGTGTCTAATGAGAAATTTAAGGTGTGCATGCCAAATAGAACTTGATTTCCACCCGACATGTTCATCCCTCAGTTTTTCCTAAGTCCACTTATGTTTACCTAGTTTTTCTGCAAAAAAACCAAGGAATTACCTTTGTTTCTCCTTTTCCATCCTCCCCAATATCAAGTTCTTCTCACTCGCCCTCCAAATATGCCGAGTCTTGACATTCCTCCCTGTCTTTTTTGTCACTTTAGTCAAAGCTGCCATTGCCCCTTGTCTAGATTTCCAAATTAGCACCTCCTTTCTTGGTTGTTGCTTTAGCATCCCATCTCCAGTACCCAGCAGAGTGATTTCTGAATGTGTGACTAGATCGTGTTACTCTCCTGATCCATCACTAACTGAGATCCTTACATTTCCTATATCAACCTAAAAGATCCTGAATGTAGTTAGCGATTTCTCTAACTCATATGGAACAGGTAAACAATTAAAATAATGATGAACATTCCTTCGTTACTTACACATGCTCCTAGAAAAATCATTTTTCTTCCCCCTGACCTTTCATGGTTGACTCTTCAAAAATTTCCTCCAGATTTTAACTTAAATATTCTTAATTCTTAGGCATTGCCTCAAAAGCACGTAATTTATAGAGCCTGCTCAGTCATTCTTGCACCTGTTTTCATTCTCCAAATGGCACTAATCATAATCTCATAATTTTCTTGTTTTTATCTTTTTTCTTCATGCTAAAATATGAACTTTTGAAAGCAGGAAAATTATACTATTTCTGCTGTTTTTTCAATGGTTACAAATTTCCTCAGATGACTTTTTAGAAATGATGGTGGTCAATTCACTTTTATTTTAACAAGACCAGAAATTTTTGTGATGTAATTAAGAATTTTCAAAAATAGCCATTTTCCTGGCACTAATAAGACTTTTTTTCAGCAAAGCAATTTCAGTGTGCAAATATTTATCAGATAAAGCTGACATTTTACTGTGTTTTCTTGGTCTTTTTTGTAGATAATGGATAGCCAAAAATCATCAGAAGATTCTGGATCCAGAAAAGATTCTTCCTCAGAAATTTTCAGTGATGCTGCCAAGGAAGGCTGGCTCCATTTCCGGCCACTTGTCACTGATAAGGGCAAGGTAGTAAGTCTGAGAACATAAAATGGCAAAATATCCAGAATAGAGAGTGAAAAACATCATTTTTATCTTTTTTAAATATGAGGGAAATATTTTAAAGATATTCTAATCATATACTCATATTTTTTTTAAAGATTCATATTTATTTAGGCTTACAAGAACTGGGGGATAGGCCCGAGGTGTTGGGGGGGGTGAGCGGATTTATCAGAGACAGAGTGGGGAGCAGAATAGGTAGATCTACTGAAATACAGTGTTGAAGGGAGCAGCAGGCAAGGCAGGAGAGGTTGGCTGTGCCACTATGTGGGTTAGCTCATTGGCTGAGGATTGAACTCATGCCACAGTGTCTGGCTGTAGCTTGACAGTGCTGAGACTTTAACGCCTGTGCCACCAAGGAGGCCCACATTTGTCAACTAGAATGTTTTGTACTTAGCCATGTAAAGGAGAAATCAAAGTATATAAGAAACTCGAGCCCCCGTCTGGACCCGGGGGCTGGCAGGCCCACCTGTGCTGGGGTGCTCCTGTTGCCCCTTGGGTTCACCTTTGGAGTGGTCTCTGGGGCCTTCATGCGGGCCCTGTAGGTATCTGGCCCAACCCATGCCCCAGAGGTCCCACCTGCCATCCATGCAAGGCTGCTGAGACAGGTACCCAGACCTAAACCAACCAAAAAGTGTTTTGTGAAAAAAGAGAAATATCACATTGTATCTTTAAATATTTCCACTGCTCGTCTCCAGGCTCTGCCACAGAAGGAAGACTGTACAGGCGTTCCTGGCTGTGCATGCTAGTCAGCACCCCCAGATGGGAGCTGCACTGCATATTAGCACCAGCTGGCAGCGGTTATGGGCCACACTGACTGTAAACTTATAGGCCCACTTGAGTGCAGGCTCACCAATGGGCAGACACCAGACCGCGTTGTTTGCCCTCTCTAGGACATGAGCTACACCTGCGAATGCCGAGTTTATGAGACGTTTACATCACCTTACCATTGCCAAAGCAGACGCGCTCCCTCCAGAGAAGTACTAGTAACCTTAAAACCAGGTAGATGAGGAAAGCCTCCCTAGTGGCCTAGCGGGTTAAGGCTCAAGTGCTATTGCTGCTACGGCCTGAGTTCGATACCCGGCCCAGGGAGCCAACCCACATAAGGTGCAGCGGGCCTCCCCTCTTGCCCACTGCGCTCCATGGTGGTGTAATTCAGTAATGGTCCCTCTTCCTTCGTGTCCCCTTGTCTGTATTCCCCGTCTCCCCTCCCCTTCCCCCCCCCCCCCCAACCAAGAACAGTGAGAGGAATCCAAGAACATAAAATATGTAGGCCAGGTCTAAGTGATAGAGTAAAACAAGAAGGGGAGCTCGTCATTTGAGCCCGTAAACTTGGAAAGCAAGAACTCACAGCTAAGGTGGAGATGGAGCAAGTGTTTGGTTTTAATGTTTCTCAGCTGATTAAAAATACACCACTAGGGCCTCTCCTGGTGGCGCAGCGGTTGAGCCCTGGGCTGCGAGGCTGCCCCTCAGCCTCTGCAGCACCGGTTTGTTCCCCGCCGCTGGCGAGGTCCCAAAAAAAAAAACCCACGCACACTAAACCTGTGCTTACAATGCAAAAAAAAAAAAAACGAAGAAACTGTTTTCTCATTAGTTGTAGATTACAGAGTAGTCCTTTAGAGAAAGGCAACACTATTTTAATAATGTATTTAACTTTTCCCAGTTTACTCTTTTAAGTTGTCTTTCTCACTTTGTTTCACTTTATCCATTTTAAGGAATGTAAATAAATATCCATATTATAAATATATGCTTCATTAAGTAGATTTTAATATAGTAAGAACTTGACCATGAGGATTACCTATATTTGGGCAGCTTATTTATTCTTTTAAGAAAATTGTAATGTTGTTAGAAGTTTAAAATTTTGAAGAAAATTGACCTTGCATGTGAATTATTTTGCTTGACCATATAAATTTTATCAGTTTTGATAGCTTTTTAAAGAGTATTTCTCATATATAATTTTATTAACTTATTTTCTTACATCATTGTTCATTTTTGTACACTATTTCTCAGGTGTAGTCCCCATAATTCTCGCACCACAACAGCACCCATGACCCATCACCATAGTCCCTTATGCTCTCCCTCCCGTTTTGACCCCTCGCCCTTCCCTCCTCACCCCCAATTCCTGTTTTTTATAGCTTAATTCATCACTTTTACTTACATTTTAGGATCTCCTTTTGCAGTGTTTGTCTTTGCATGATCTAACACTTAAGCATTCCTTTTACTCAAAAGTGTTTCCGACTGATATTTTTCCTTTTATTCCCTTCACATTTTATGTATCTTAATTTGTGATACTTATTTAATCAATTACTTGGTTACTTTCCTGACTAAATTAAAACTGACTTCACTATCCTTGGTTTTGAAGTAATACACTGGCCTAATGTGGTTCATGCACCCAGATTTCTGTCCTTCCTCTCCTAACAAATACTTGCGTTGAGGCAGATCAGATACCTGCTGCATTTAGTAGCATTTATGTGTTAACAGTGTTGCTTTCTATGGCTTCCCTGTTATGGAGATTTAGCTAATTATTCAGTATTCCTGACTGTTTTGTGTTTTCTAGCGAGTTGGTGGGAGCATTCGGCCATGGAAACAGATGTATGTTGTACTTCGAGGACATTCACTTTACTTGTACAAAGACAAAAGAGAACAGATGACTCCGTCGGAAGAAGAACAACCCATCAGTGTTAACGCTTGCTTAATAGACATCTCTTACAGTGAGACCAAGAGGAAAAATGTGTTTCGACTCACTACATCAGACTGTGAGTGCTTATTTCAGGCAGAAGACAGAGATGATATGTTAGCGTGGATCAAGACCATCCAGGAGAGCAGTAATCTAAACGAAGAGGTATGTGCTCAAATGATGCTGATGAAGTCAGCTACTTCTACAACTTCCTAAAGAAGAAAGAATCTGGTGTTTTAAAAAATTACCGTATGCTATTTTCACTTAATATAATGAGAAGAAAAACTCAAGTGTACTTTGTTTTTATGTTTTGTTAAGAAAACAAAAAATACTTTTTTATTTTATGCTATGTTTTAAGCACTTTATATACATTACAGTTTTCCTTGCTATCAGAAAGTAGAACATTCCTGTTTGGTAGGAGGTGGTAGGCTACGAGGTGGTAGCCTACTTTTTAATTGTGGAAACATTCAAAAGTTTCCCCATTTAAATTAATGGTAATATCATTCCCAGACCCAAAAAATAACCCACCAAAGCATACCAAATAGGAATATTCTACTTAAAAATAGCAGAAGTTCTAATCCAATAGCAACCTTGCAAAGTCCATAATTGTTCATATTATTGATGAGGTTTGAGGAGAGTGAATAACTTGCTTAAGTGGTAAAACCTTGATTCAGACCCAACCCAACTATTTCCAGAGACTGAGTGCTTTAATCTGTGCTGTACATCCTGCGTGGTTTGGCTCTAAAACAAATAGGATTTGCCCTACTACAGTTGGGAGTGTTGGAATCCGCAGGACTCACCTCATTGGCTTCAGTTTGTGGTCTTGATATTAAACCTGTCATTCATAGGTGCTGAATAAACATAAAATCAATTAGAGAAAAAGTTGGAAAATTACCATTACTAAACTGGAAAGATAGGTTATTCATATATTCTGAATTTTTTTTTCAGAAGAGTGAACCCCACAGATCAGGAGAATAAAGTTTCCAGTCCTGGTCATTACCTTTGTAACTATATAATTGCACATCTATTTCCTTATCTCATAAACAGGATTGTTGTAGGGCTTCAGTTTTAGTGAAAATGCTTATCTAAACATTTCTATGTAAATACAAGAATATTATGATTTTGTAAATGGAATTATATAAGAATATAACCAATTGTGATGGAAAAATTGGTTTGTAAGAAAACGTGAATTAGCAAAAGTAATTATAAGTTCGTTTTTCTTTTTAATAAGGAATAGTTTAAGAACTAAGGAATTTCTGGCTCACGCCATTAAAATATTTTTATAGCAGGAATTTCAGTAGTAAAGGTAGTTTTTGAAATGTATATAGCTATAAAATTTCATATGCACATTCAACAGTTAGGTCTAGCTTTTGCCTAAGAATATCTTTTCTCATATCACGGTACAGTTTCTCTTACAGTGTTCTCACTTTTGTGGAAAAAAGTGCATCATTTCCCTATAATTGCAGGAACACCTACATTAACTGTATGGTTATGCTGATGATGTTCTCTACTTTAGTCATTTCCATTATAGCCCATTCAAATCAAAACTTTGCCACAGGGAAAATGCCTGTGCTTTATTTTTCTCTTATAGTTTAAGCTCTGCCTTGTTTGTGATGAAAAATTAACACCAGAGCCTTATCAGTACAACAATCATGCCTTATACAGAGAGCATCAAACCTGAATTTTTACAAAGTAAACAGGGAGAGTAAGAACTTGAATGTAAATTTCATCTGTAAGTAACACTTCAAAGGAATAAGTAAACACCTAGTATGTGTCAGGTACTCAATAAGGCAGTAGAGTGTCCTTAAAATACTTTCAGTGACTTCATCTGTGAAACATAGGACTGTTTTAAGGTTGAATGAGAATTCTTATGAAGAATGCAGTGTAGTGCCTGGCAGTTAATGAACCTTTACTTGATGTCAATCATAATATCATCATCATCTAATCTTAAAACACAGGTGTTTTGTCCCAGTTTTATAGATTGAATTTTAATAAATCACTGAGCAAGTTTCATATGGCGTCCGGACACTCTTAAACATTTTATGTGAATTATCTCAACAGCCACAGGAATGTGTTCCATTGTCATCACCATTTTAAAAAGAAACTGTATGGCCAAGAGTGGTTAAGTAGCTTCCTCAGGTAACATAGCTAGGTGTCAACAGCAGGGTTTAAAACCAGGGAATCTTATTCTAGATCTTAGCCATGCGCTCTTAACTGGTAAATGGAGAGAAAGTATTTGAATTTGGAATGCTTTACACTCTAAATATTGTACTCTTTGTAAATTGTATTGTCTTTCATTATAATCAAAACGAGACAAGTAAAAAAAAACTTCTCTTTTGGTAATCTGCCATTTCTGATATTAATTGACCTGTAGTCTCAGTGCACCTATAAACGAATCAATAATTTTTGGCAGCATTTTTTCATCTCATATCCAACTGTATTTTTAAATGCTGAGATTTCTTTTTGGTATTAGTGAAAGATGAAACTGCTTCTGTGCTTCCCAGTCATTTGTTAACATGAACAGATAATTAAGTTAGCACACTTTATTTTTGCTGGCACTGTTCTAGGTATTGCAGGGTATAGAAAATAAAATCTTCAGTTGGGTTTGGCACCAGGCCATTTGTCGCATCATGATGTTGTCTTGTGATGTTGAACAGAGGTTTTAAAGCAGCTTCACTGAGAGTAAAATATGATGTTTCTATTGAATAAGCAAAGTAATGCAGTAGCTAGCTTCAAACCAAATAGGGGTCTCTATATATATTTAGAAATGACTTTTTAATTTTACCTCCCATTTTTTCTGTAGGATACTGGAGTGACAAACAGAGATCTAATTAGTCGAAGAATAAAAGAATATAACAGCCTGATGAGGTGAGAATTCACCCTGCCTACAGGTTAATTTGGATGTAAAGAAGGTAATTGCTACAAAATGTTCCTTTCTCTCAGCAGCAAAGCAGAACAGTTGCCAAAAACACCTCGCCAGAGTCTCAGCATCCGGCAGACTTTGCTTGGTGCTAAATCAGAGCCAAAGACTCAAAGCCCGCACTCTCCCAAGGAGGAGTCAGAAAGGAGACTGCTCAGTAAAGGTACTGATGTTAGCTTTCTTGGATAAATGTAACAAATGATTTTTAAAATTGGAATTTTTAAAAGCGCTTACGTGATTTTCTGTGCCATTGCTGCTGATGGAGGCTCCGTGTCAGCCAGTGATCTGGACCAGGTCTGGGCTCACAGGGCCTTTCCCTTTAAGGCAAAGTCCAAGACACCAGTTCTTGTAATAGAGACAAAATGAAGAAAAATGTAACACAGTCATTTACCTAATAGACACTATGAATTTGATTGACTTGGGAAGTCCAGGCACTGTTATTTTGAGATAAAACGATTTTGTTTTCTTTTGCTATAACCTCACTGAAGGTGACACAATGATTGTATTTTCTTGACTGTTTTAAAGAAAATCATGGTACAGATTTGTAGAAAGTCGAAGAAATACAGTTGACACCTGTTAAATGACATGAAAGGTTTAAAGGAGTGCTATATTAGAGAATTCCCTTGTACTGTTTCTAATAAATATAGATGTATTATTAATATAAAACATTAAATATATGTTAATATACATTGTTTTTTAATAAATATAGGTATATCATTTACAGATTGGACTCTATATAACTACTGTTAAAGGATTTTTAAAGTCATCATTTAAATACTCTTATTTCTATTTTGTTTCTTATGTTCATTTTATTTCGAATGATAATCAAAAGATGATACCAGTCCCCCAAAAGACAAAGGCACGTGGAGAAAAGGCATCCCAAGTATTATGAGAAAGACATTTGAGAAAAAACCTACCACCACAGGAACCTTCGGTGTCAGACTGGATGACTGCCCACCAGCTCACACTAATCGGGTAGGAGACACCAGCCAGCCGATTTCCTAATCATTAATTCACTTGAAATCACTAAAGGGCCTGCATACATAGCTGTTCAGATAACAGGGACTACATGTCCATCTACTGAGTGTTTTTCTCTTCCTAGCACACCTTAGTTTCTCTAAGCATTTCTGATGTGTAAAGGTGTGTTGAGTAATTTTATCCATGCTGCTTTTTTTCCTAATGTATTGACTCTGAAATAAATTACTTATTCAGCCATGAGGAATGTATCTGAAATATATCTGAAGTAGTTGGTAAGAATTCATTTTCAAATCACATATGTTTCTGCTTTTAGCATCTTAAAAGGAGGATGAGAGCAAGGACCAGATTAAGAAGTATAATAAATGTAAATGTGCATATGTGTGTGTTTGTGTGCACACCCTGTGAAGAGTCATTTCACTAGTTGGTTGATGTTAACTCTTCTTTGTTTGACTTCATGGTGCCTCATTCAACTGGACTGTTTCTACATTCTCCTTATGTGCTTGTATTTCCTTTTTAGACATTTATCTCCTTATAGGCCCTTCTCTTTCTGTCTTGGCCTATTTGTTCTCTTCCTCCTGTCTCAAATACTTCTTGCTGGTTTTATCTCTTCCCAGTTCTGCAGTGTCTGTAATTTTTATTCTTTCTAAATCAAATAACAGCAACTTATAAATTTCCTTTTGGATGAAAAGGGCTTTTAGCTATGATATATATCACTAACTAAATAGAAACATTTATGCTCTATTGAGTAAAATGTTTATTTCTTGTTTTGCAGTATATTCCATTAATAGTTGACATATGTTGCAAATTAGTTGAAGAAAGAGGTCTTGAATATACAGGTATTTACAGAGTTCCTGGAAATAATGCAGCCATCTCAAGTATGCAAGAAGAACTCAACAAGGGAATGGCAGATATTGATATACAAGATGATGTAAGTTTATTTCTATATGAAAAACTGATGTGTGTTTGGTTCTTTGGTGGTGTTGATTACAAAAATACTGTTTCTGTTTTGTACTTAGAAATGGCGAGATTTGAATGTGATAAGCAGCTTACTAAAATCCTTCTTCAGGAAACTCCCTGAACCTCTCTTTACAAATGGTGAGTTAACTCCCACTAAAGATACTAGATAAACAGCTTAAAGTTACATTGTTGGAACACCATAGAATATTAAATTCCACCAGAAGAAAATATTTTTATTGACGGAATAAGGATATTTTGTTTCATTCTTACTTATGTATAAAGCATAATTATGTATGGAGACTACACCTAAGAGGAGAAATCAAACATTGTACAAAAATGAACAATGACGTAAAATACATGTATATAAATAAATATTTTTAAAAGCATAATTGCTATTTATTGTCATTTGGAATTTTTTTCCTCCTAGACAATGAGTTAATAAAATTGTTTAATATATATTTCCTGTTCATGCATATTTGTAGTCAAGTTAAAAATAAATTGTTATTGAATCAAAAGACTTAAGCCATAATAAGGTACAGTTTGTAGAAAAACATTTTTTCAGATAAGCCAAATATGTTGTGTGTACTATATGCTGTGTGGCCCGCTGCTCCCTTCAGCAGTGTTTTTGGTCCTTCTGCCTGTTTTGCTCCCCGCTCTATCACTGGTGAATTCTCTCACCCTCCCACACCTCTGGCCTGTACCCCAGTTCTTGCATAAATAAATCAGTCTTTAAAAACAAAACTATAGCAGTTTTAAAGACAAACTCTTTTGGAGGGGAGAAAGGGCAGTCTTCCCTACATTTTTTGTATGTGTAGCTTAAAATTAAATGTTAAAGGAAAACTAAATTACAACTCACCTGAGTGATATAAGATAAATGTTCTGTTGTTCTTGTTGTCAGATAAATATGCCGACTTTATTGAAGCTAATCGTAAAGAAGATCCTCTGGATCGTCTGAGAACATTAAAAAGATTAGTAGGTATTATTTTATATTTTTGGAGCTGCTGTTAGAATTCAACATATAAATTCACCATGAAATAAATATTTTTCAGATTCACGATTTGCCTGAACATCACTATGAAACACTTAAATTTCTTTCGGCTCATCTGAAAACAGTGGCAGAAAATTCAGAAAAAAATAAGGTATGGAAGAACATATTGAAGAGGTGTATCTATATATATCATAATTTACACAATGAATCTTCAGCAAAGGGTTATAGCACTTCACATCCTTGATTCATTTCTCTACACCTTGTGCACTATCTTTCCAAAAATGCATAGTTTGTTTTAAGGACAGCAATAAGGAACCCCTTTCAAGATCCCTAGTGGATGTCCGGAACTGTGAAATGTACCAAACACTATACATACTGTGTTTTTCCCTAAACATACATTCATATGATAAAGTTTAACTTATAAACCAGGCACAGTAAGAGCAATAACTAATAATAAATACAATATATAATCGTGATAAAAGTCATGTGAATGAAGTGTCGCTCCCGCCCCAACCCCTGCCAGTATCTTATTTGTAGTGCTTTTTTTTTTTTTTTTTTAACCACAGTTGACAGGAGGTCACTAAAATCACAGAAAACAAAACTGCACATAATCGGGAAGGATTACAATAATGAGTGAATAAACTGGGAACTACTTATATTAGTTTCATGTAGGAGCAAGCTAAAACTGTACACCCCATGTAATAAGTATCACAGTGTGTATAGAAGCAGAATGCATGTTATCAGTAATATAAAAGCCTAAGTGAAATCTAGAGTAGAATCTAGGAAAAATTTTACAAAAGAAACCTTTCAGAGGGTGGACTTTTCATCAAAAGAACATTTCCAAGATACCAAGCACAAAATAGGAATTTAAGCCTATTAAGAACAATTCTGATATTTTCCATTATCATCCTTTGTTTCAGATGGAACCAAGAAACCTAGCAATAGTTTTTGGTCCAACTCTCGTGAGAACATCAGAAGATAACATGACCCACATGGTCACTCACATGCCGGACCAGTACAAAATCGTGGAGACACTCATCCAGCACGTAAGTTCAGGCCGCAGCTCAGCAAGAAAAGTCATTTTTGTGAGCGGCTGATCCTTGGTAGGACAGAATTTGGCTATGATTTCTTCTTCTAAAAAAAATTATTCTTTTTCCTATGTGATCTTCCCAAATAGAGACATATTTAAAGCGTTGTTTGATTTCTCTTTTCACCCTTTTTATTTTAAATTTTAGCATGACTGGTTTTTCACAGAAGAAGGTGCTGAAGAACCTCTTGTAAGTATCATCGATCAGCAGTTACACTCTATTTTTTTCATTCGGGACACGAGAGCCAGGTGCTACAACAATGCCACCCTCCTGCTCTGTATGTTATTGTCCACTTTGCACCCGGAAGCAGGTCTATAGCTCCCTCAGTTTCTGATTTAATAAAAATACAAGTAAGATGCTCATTTTGTACGTAAATATGTGTAAACAGTGTAAAAAATTTCAGGACATGTGCTCCAGGCAATAATGTATCTTTTACTAAATTTTGTTTGAATTTTTAAGTATCTTTGAAGTGATGATGAAGAAATCTTTGTTTGTTAACCATAGACAACAGTACAGGAGGAAAACACAGTAGACTCCCAGCCAGTGCCAAACATAGATCATTTGCTCACCAACATTGGAAGGACAGGAGTCTCCCCTGGAGACGTATCAGGTAACTCTTGCCTGGGCAGTATTTGATCTCTCAGTTGAAAGCTAAGTTCTTATAACATGAAAGAGTGAATCAATCATGAGTAAAAATTCACTATAATTTTTTCCTTTTCTTTTTTTCCTTTCTACTAATAAAAATACTCAGTCTTGCTTTTCTGATCTTAATTATCTTCCAGTGACTATTATACCATAGGCAGTGCATGGAGTTGTAATGCTTGCCAGAATGGAATTATGAGGGAAATGAGCATGCAAACCACTGTTTTGTTCTTTTTTTTCTTTTAATTCACAGTTTCCATGTAATAGTCATCACAAGGTAAAACAGATATATGCTACTGAATATGTGGTTGCTGTGATGGCAGAAAGTATGGTCTACACTGTATAAGTAGTTCTTCTTGAGCTAGCTGTCTGTGTAAAAGTAGCAAAGTTGAATCTGTTGAACTGCTAATGGATGGGCACCATTTTCACAAATACAGTCTTTTTGTCACTACAATTGTCACAAGAAAAGTCGATCTATTTGACATTTTCTCCTGTTTTCTATTGCCACCCTAATGTTTGGTTAAATATTAGCTCTTCTATAGACTCTTTTGATGAAAATTTTCTCCTGCCAAACTGTTGCACTAATCCAGCATGTTGTTTTACACGATGTTTTCCCTTTGTCTCTAGTTCTTGTTTTAGTCCTAAAGGGTTTTTTCAGCACTTACTGACACAGGCAAATCTATACTGATGTTGAACAGGCGAAGTGGGAGGAGTCTATCACACGGTAATGTCGCTAGTGGATTCTATGGTGTCCCTGATGGACAGCTGGAACTGTAGGAAGAAGGAGGATTGCTGTCCACACTGTAGCTGCCTTGTCTGCAGAAATCCCCGATTCTTGTAAATGCAAACAAACCTAGTTGATCTGTGGTGTAAATTTTCTCTTAAGGATTTTTGTAAACAGATCAATACTACTCTCTTAAAAATTTTTCTGCTGTTTCTTGTTATTTCTGAAGCAGACCGTGAGGAGAAATAGCATGGTATGGTCTACCAGTTCTTAAAGTCATAAAGCATTTAGCCATGTGTTAAAAGGGGTGTGGCATGGGGCTCAGCTCATTCATTTTGAAAATCAATTTTCCTCAAGTCAAATGATAAAACTTCAAAATTGGTATTCTGAATAGTGCTAGCCCCTTTCTACCCCCTTTGTAATTGTATAATCTGAGTTTTTGCCAGACAGTAAAATTATGGTCTCCATTTTTCCATTTCCATAATAGCACTTGTTAATAGATAATTGCAAAACTGGTAGCAATTTAACCAAACTAGTCAAAAGGATCCCTGACTGCACAGATTTGAAATTGGGGCCTAAAGCACAAAGATCAGCATTACTTAATATAAAACCAAAGTGACCTGGAAGCAAGATTAATGCCTCTTTTGCATCCATATGCATACAGTATATGGTTATACAATTTAAGTTCAACGTCTGACAAAAATCAAAATAAATATACTGAGTATGAGTGTCTCAATTTGTAGCTAGGGCAGCCAACAATCTTAAAAGTTCTACATTGTGTATCAGTTTCAGATACAGGATGTGGTACATAGTACAATTCTTTAAAGGTCTTCAAGCTTCTTTACTGCTAGATTTCATATTTAGAAAATCTAATAAATACTAGTACTTCTGTTTTTGTTTAGTACAGGGCTCCTTTGCCATTCTATCATTGAGCTGATTCTGCCTACAATTCACAGCATCCTTTCATGGCGGTGGCTTTCTGTGGTGCAGCTTGCATCTTTGTGAGCTCTGACTATCCACTGTGTTCTATTGTTTTGTTTGATTTTTGCTTTCCCATTTTGTTCTGTGCCTGTCTTTTCCATAAGTTTTGCATTGTTTGTTAGTAGCAGTAAAGATTAACTAATTCTGACCTTTTTTTTTTTTTAAACTTCTTACAGATTCAGCTACTAGTGACTCAACTAAATCTAAGGTACATTTTTGAACAATTTTTCAATGTTTGAAGGGAAAATTGCCTTTTCACTGATTGTTGTGATTAGCCTATGTCTGATGACAGAGCAACAAAATCTGATAAGGGACGTTAAATAGGACAGCAGAATATTGGGATGTAAGTTGGAATGTTTGGGTTCTTTCAGCATAGGCTAGCATCATACAAAGAGATATCTTTTTTCTCTTCTTCTAATATGAAAATTTTCTAACATACAAAAGCAGAGAGGATAGTGTGGTGAGCCCCCAAGCTCCATTATCCAGCTTCAACAGTTATTGATACAGCCAAGCTTGTTTGAGCCATGCACCACCTTCCTACATGTCCTCCTTGGGGGACTATTTTGAAACAAATCTCAAACATCATGTCATATCTGTGAATACTTCACTAGTAACAAAGACTTTCTGTTATTACATATTTTTATAGAAAATATAGATTCCTTCCTTTCAGCAAATCAGTAATTTTGCTTTGAGTATCAGTATTTTTTTTTTTACATAACTTGCATTAACATCACCACCAAATCACAACTTTTGAGTGGTTTTTAGGATGTTCTTAGAGTCCTTTGCAATTTTTATTTACTCATTTTGTCCAAACTTTGCTCGCCTGAAGTGGTAGGCACTGGAATTGTCGATAAATTTGCTGAAACATTGTTCTAGTTAGAAATGGCACTGAATTCCATGTCCTCTTTAAATATCATAATGGGGTGGCATATGATTAAATTATTAATCAGATATTAATCATATATTATTTTATTGATCATATATTTTTTAATCATATATTATTTTCTACCACTTACGATTTTCACTTTTTGCCCCAACTTTTTATTTTGAAAAATTATAGATAAAAATTTACTGGAATGACAACACCCAAACCTTTTTTCATCATTCAAAAAAGATTTCATCAGTTGGTAAATCTTGATATAGGCTTTTTTTCTGAACCATTAGAGTTACTTGTACACATGATACCACTTCCCCTACTTCATCAGGTATGTCTTAAGAATGAGGGTGGTCCCTTATAACATCATAGTATAATTACATACTTAGAAATTCCTAAGGTATAGTTTTTATACAAATTTCTCCAATTACCCCAATGATGTTTAATTTTTTTAAATTTTCCTGTGCAGAGTACAATCAAGAATCATTCCTTAAATTTAGTTGTCATTTCTCCTTATATTTCTTTACTCTAGAAGTTAATTCCCTTCTTCTCTTACCAGAAGATTTTAGATCAGACAGGCCAGTTTGAATTTTCCACCTTCACTGTACTAGATTCATGTTTCTTAACCTATTGTTAAGACAGTCTCTTTGCCTTAATGATGGTAGTGTTTCTACCATGCCTATGATACAATAATCTCCAAATGGTATAACTCTTTCTAAATTGTAAAATAGGCATTTGTTCCAAGACTTATGTGATCACAAAATCAACAGATTTTAAAAAGGAACTTCAGGAATCTGAAAGAGTATCTTCTAATTGCTTCTCACTTAAGGATATTGATCAGTTTAAAAGTCAACCACTTGCTCAGTTGTCATACGCAGGAAAGCAGCGGGAAGGAACATCCTAATTTCAGGTCTCCTAGTTCAGAGCCCAATCACAGCATTTATCCCCTACAGTCTGCAGCCGAATGTGCAACATGTGAATAACTATTAGAAAGGTACTAGATAAATTATGCAAACCTTTATAACTTACTAAAAGAAACTTCTGTTAATTTATTTTGGTGCATCTTTTTAATGCAGCAGCTAAATTTCTACTTTTTCCCTCAAGACTTCAAGCACAGCACTTTTAGCTTGCCTAGGGTTTTTATGACAATAGGAAAATATACTTTCTGCTGCTATTACTCAGCTTATTTCCTGCTGTGTACTTGTCTTACTACATGGTGGGCAATAAAACCAAGCATTTAAATTTTTTTCTCTCTTTTAAACTGAGGCGTTGGTCTATGACACTTAATACATTTTAGGAGTATGGGGTCACACCATGCCCACCACGAAAGTATCAATAACCCTCCACCAAGGTCCATTGGACCGCCCTCTGGTAAGCTTAGTTCTGCAATCAGATTCCAAGGATTTGTTTCATAAACCAACAAGTATTTATTGACCTCTAATATCAGCATTTACTCAGCCTATAGGCATTTATGAACAAATTAATTAGTTATCATCAAGAGCAAATTCCACATAACTAATACAACCACTAACCTTCACCACAACTTTACCAATAACAGGGTACTAATATATCCATAGTAAGGATTTAAGATCTTTAATTGACTTTGTTATTTAAACTTTGTAATTTTGTTTTTACCTTGAGATAAACGAAGACATTACCAACCTGATTTCCTTAAGGCAAGTCCCTGAAATCCAGCCTCGCTGAACTAATGGAAGACCAAAGAATTCCTTTATCTTAATGAGCTTGTCTGATACAGTAGCTGTGTCATATGGTGTCTGTAATTAGAAAATTGAAATCAGCCATAAAATATATAAGTATATAACTCTTACATTCAATTATGTTGGAATATTGTTTAACTCTTAAGCCTGTGTTCCAGATGAAAGAGCCTGAAGCTTGTCAGAGCACTGCTTGAGCAGGGAAAGTCGGTACAGAAAAATGAACTCGAATCCAGCATGCCAGATGGCACTAGACACAGAATATTTCCTAAAAGACAGATGTATGTGAGCTGTGACTTAGCAAATGAATAGCAGCTGTTTGGCTTGGCAAATAAATACCCCCAGGCTGGATATGGAACTAGTTAAATAAAAATAAAAATTTATCTTAGGTACAAGTTAAAAGGAAATTAAAAAAACTGTTAGTGCTTCTAAAGCTTTAGCACAGTTTATTTAGTAAGAAATGTTACAGTGTTCTCATGTTCAAAGTCTTATTTCTCTGATTGCTTCTCAGGGTTCTTGGGGATCTGGAAAAGATCAATACAGTAGGGAACTGCTGGTATCCTCCATCTTTGCAGCTGCTAGTCGCAAAAGAAAAAAGCCAAAAGAAAAAGCACAACCTAGCAGCTCAGAAGATGAACTGGACAATGTATTCTTAAAGAAAGAAAATGCAGAGCAGTGTCACAATGATATCAAAGAAGACACCAAAAAAGAAAGCGAAACATCGGGCAGGAAGCAGCGGACTGTCATTCCCAAAGAAAATAATGCTAAGAAAGACCCCAGTGTGACAAAAGATGAGAAGGCCTCACTACGGAAGGAGAGCGTGCCCGCGGAGGAGCCCTCCCCGCCACACAACTCAAAACACAAGTCACCAGCTCCGAGCTGTCACTTCTCCACGCTGAAGGAAAGTCCCAAATCACTGGTGACACTGAAGCCCCCCCACTGTGAAGAAACAGGGTCTGACTCTGGCACTTTGCTTAGCACTTCTTCCCAGGCTTCCCTGGCAAGGTTTTCCACTAAGAAATCCACCAGTCCAGAAAACAAGCATAGTGAGTTTTTGGCCAATGTCGGCACCATCACCTCAGACTACTCGACAACATCATCGACCACGTACCTGACCAGCCTGGACTCCAGCCGCCTGAGCCCCGAAGTGCAGTCTGTGGCTGAGAGCAGAGGGGACGAGGCCGACGACGAGCGGAGCGAGCTCATCAGCGAAGGGCGGCCTGTGGAAACGGACAGTGAGAATGACTTTCCCGTGTTCCCCACAGCTTTGGCGTCAGAGAGACTTTTCCGGGGGAAACTGCAAGACATTACTAAGTCCAGGAGAAATTCGGAAGGAAGCGAAGTAAGTGGTACTGAGGGCAGCTTAACCCCAAGCTTAGAGAGCCGGAGACAGCTCTTTAGCTCCCATAAACTGATCGAATGTGATACACTGTCCAGGAAAAAATCTGCAAGATTCAAGTCAGACAGTGGAAGTCTGGGAGAAGCCAAGAATGAGAAAGAAGCACCATCAATAAGTAAAGTGTTTGATGTGATGAAAAAAGGGAAGTCAACAGGGAGTTTGCTAACACCACCCAGCAGGAGTGAGTCGGAAAAGCAAGAACCCACGTGGAAAACGAAAATAGCAGATCGGTTAAAATTGAGACCCAGGGCACCGGCCGACGATATGTTTGGAGTAGGAAGTCAAAAACCCAGTGGCGAGACAGCTAAAAGGAAAAACATCAAGCGCAGGCATACGCTGGGAGGGCAGAGAGATGCCTCTGAAATCAGTGTTCTGAATTTTTGGAAAGCTCACGAGCACAGCGGGGAGAGAGAATCGGAACTTTCAGCTGTGAATCGGTTAAAACCGAAGTGCTCGGCCCAGGACCTCTCCATCTCAGACTGGCTGGCGAGGGAGCGCTTACGCACCAGTGCATCTGACCTCAGCAGAGGAGAGGCCGGAGACCCCAGCCCAGGGAACCCGAGTACGTTCGAAATAGCCGTGGCGGACACACCTCTGTCTCTTCAGCCTGATGCAGGCAGTTCTCCCAGGACTGTGGCTTCAACGAATAGGCCCGTTCTTTCCACACCGCCACAGTCACCTGACCAAATCAATGGGGAAACCTTCCAGAACATGAGCCAAAATGCTAGTTCTACAGCGAATGCCCCACCTCATAAACTGTCTGAAATCCCGGGCAATAAAGCACAGTTTCATCCCTGTCTTTAACCTGGGGGTAGTCCACTGCAGCAAATAAAAAAAGCTACTGTTACACGTTCCAGTAACTCTGTAAATATTTTCTTGTACCAGAATTGTTATTATGCAGCCTTCATTTGGGCTGGTTTCATCATTTTGCACTGTGAAATAGCTTTACAGTGCATTACTACAGCCAGAGGAACATATATATATATATAAATATATTTAAAATTATATTGGATAGTTGTATACAAATAAACAATGTATTTGTTGCAACTTACTACATAGTGTATACCCAAGATTACTGAAGAAATTAGCTGGCATTAGTATGCAGCAAATTTGTTCTTTTGGTTTCATCACTAACAGAAGTGCCTCATCATAAAAATACATTTGGTTTTTAGGGTGCCATAATTGTTAAAATTAGATAACTTACATTGAATAAATGAAGGCATTTTATGGGTAACAAATTTCACTACATTTACCAGTTTTAACACAGGTGGATACAGAACTTCATTCTTTAGTCATTCCAGTTGAATCTGAGTTTTATATTCAAACTTTTAATACAGTTTCTGAGTTTTGTGTGACTTGAATTTTTAATCTTTCTGTAAAATACGTAACTTAAATGAACATATTATATGTGTATCTTTTCTTCAGATACCAGATTTGATATAACTGTTGTAACATAGCTGTGTAGATAGTGACCTGATGAAACTGGCTTCTTTATCGAGAAGAATATAATTTGCATGAGGACTTAATGAATCCAAACCTGTGTCATGCCTGTGTGCATACCCAATTAAACACTGGAAATAAAATTGTTTTCGTGAACTTTGCATGGCTTGAAACTTAATTCATATATATTTTTAAATACTATCTACTTGTAATAATTGGTCCTGACTTTAAATAATTACCTACTGTACACATTCCATCTCTCCCCTTTATTTGCTGTACCTGGCAGGGCTCTCTGGTAAATGTTTGCACTGGTCTAACCTTGCTCCTATCTACCGATGATATTTGACTTTTCTAGCAGAAGGAATAGATGTCCTTTACCTTTACCTAGTGATAACTGCATGAAAAGAACATGAATTTGGGAGTCAAACCAAATTCCTAGCTCTGTAAAGTAAAACAATTATTTAACTTGTCTGAATTATTCCCTCACAGAAACAATAACAACATAGGGAAAAAGGAAAAAAAGTATCTACTGTGTTATTGGATTTAAATGAGATACCCTTTCAAATACTGTACCTCTGCCACACTTTGCTTGCAAAATACAGCAAACCTGTTGCAATATAATGGATACTTAGTGGGCAATTAAAATAATAAGGGCCTCCCTGGCGGCACAAAGGGTTAAGAGGCAGCACAGTGAACTGCAGCTACTACCACACAAGTTCAATTCCCAGGAGGCCCAGGCCAGAGAGATGACCCTCATGGCGGAGCAGACCTCTCCTGCCTGGCCCGCTGCTCCCCTCAGTAGTGTGTTTCAGTACATCTGCCTGTTCTGTTCCCTACTCTGTCTCTGGTGAATCCTCTTACCACCGCATCTCTGGCCTGCACCCCAGCTCTTGTATGCATAAATAAATAAATCTTTAAAAATAATAATTGGGTACTTATAATCTCAGAATGTTAAGACTGAGAAGCCCTGTCAGACTCAATATTCTTTTTCTATAAAAAATATTTTGTTACTATTCCTTTACTCTTCTAAAGTGAATTCTTTATTATAGAAAAGTAATTTATAGTAAAAAAAAAACATGTAGTCAGATGTTTGTACTAACAATGCACTAACTTAATGTAGTGCAAAAAGTTTTGCTATTGGCAATTGCGATTTTCTTAAATGATGTATAATTCTTGGTACCAAGTTCTGAACAAGACTAAGTATGCCTCTTTCCTTTAGTTTACATGGCAGGTGCATTGTTGGAAGTCAGTGTATATTAAAACCATCAGAAATCCTTTCTATATGTAAGAATATTAACATTTTGTGATGCTAATCTTTTTAATCTTTTTTTAAAGATATGCCTAAGCTTTTACACCTCTTTGTTACCATTTCCACTCCCATTCCTATGCCTCTGTCCCCAGAGACAAAGGAATATTCCCCTCCAGTTCACATTGAACTTATGATATACGCAGCTTTAAATTATTCTAATTAATTACATAGTAATTACATTTTTAATTTACATAAATCACATCATTTAACAGCTTTCTATACCTTGCTGCTTTTCACATTCTGTTTATTTTCCCATTTTCTTGGGGATGGGCATGGTTATTGAAGTGGTTTCTTGGTACATGCCTCCTCTGTTCCTACAGTGTCTACACCTCTGGGTTTTCTAATCTGGTATATCAAAACACACTTGAGGAGTATGAGAAGGTATCTGTTTTGTGTTTTCTACATTATTAGGACATTTTCTGTTGGCTTTTTTGCGAGATCTTTATAAACTCAATCTTTTTTCATTTGGAGGTCTTAGCTACTTTCTCTATTTTTCAACTTTAAGGGATTTAATTGCATACATTTAAATGGTAGGCTTAATTCATGTGTCAGCTTTTACATGTGCGTTCTGAATTCCACTTAAGAAATGCTGCCAGATCCATGGCCCTAGACTTTTCTACCAGGCTTAATGTGTGGAGTTCACTTTTAGGTGCTTATGTACCTGGAATTTATTTTATGACTGATGTGAGGGAGGATGACAGCATTTTTTTTCCCTTATGGTATATTGCTGAGGTTTTCACAACAAAATTCCAGGTCCAGAAATTCTAACAACAGTAAAATATTCCTACAGGCCACTTTCCTGCTATAAGGTGAAGAAATCATCCCCCACCAGCAGGGATGCTTGAGCAGTCTGGTCTGTGCCAATAAACAACAGCAGGAGCTGGTGCAATACAGGGATTTCAGTTGTCTGCTCAGAAAGGAAGAAAGTTGGAGACGTGGGGAGTAGGGGGACACCTGCTACACGGGTCACAGCATTCCCGCCATGAAAGCGGAAATGAGGGCTGGAATGGTGTCTTGAGTAAAAAATATAAAAACAGGAGAAAGTTTAGTCTTTGCAGCTGAGAGGATTGATTTACATGCGCAAAACTTCAAATTGTAAAGCAGTTACAGGAAGGAAATACTGGAAAATGGAGATAAAGACTTACCGATTGTCCAATGTGTTGACTGTAGAGTTTCTAAAGACTTACAGACCAGTGTGCCAGCAAGCACAGGGCAGGTTCTCTGTCGATTTGGACAGAAGGATAAAGGAGGAGTCCTGGAGCCCTTGGTGGCTTTTTCAGGCTTTAGTGCTCTTTTTACACCAGTTGTTGCGGGCCAAGCCCATAGGCTGGCAAGCCAGGTTGGCCAGGGGTCTAGGAAGCTGGCAGGCCTCTCAGCCCCCAGCGAATCTTTACTCTTTCTCTTTGGGCTCTCTCTGGCGTTCTCTTGTGGTCTACTTCCTCTCGTAGCTGGTCCGCCATAGCTACCCTCTGTCTTTGAGCCACGCCACCCTTATAGCCTCAGCCTCCAGGCGCAGGTGTGCACACTCGCACATGCCCACACCATACTCCAGGTGTCCACCATCAGGCATGTCTACCCCGAACCCACGCTCCCAGGCGCCTCCTGCAATCAAGGCCACAGGTGATAGCCACAGAGCCTAGTGGCGTAAAAACCTGACCATCTTCCTTTGCCCTACACATGGCAAACAAGATGCCTTGAATTTTTACCTTTACTTTTTAAGAATAAAGATGACAGTAGTGAAAGCCTACCAACAGAGTTACGCAAAACACCAGGATGCCCCTTTGCTGTCTGCTGAATTTTGCATAGATAAGTCAGCATTAGATTTTTGAGATATGCAAATTCTTTTCTCTAGGTTTGGCATTATTACTCTCTTGCTTGTATGTTTCGCTTACCTAAATCCTTGATTTCCTCACTTTTTATTTAGTGTTTTAGTATTAATACTCATAGTTTGGAAATCCTTTCAAAAGAGGCAGGATACACACACACACCAGAATCATCCTTATAGCCCAACCCCCACCTACGCTTTTAAAAACAAGATTATGATATGGGCTCTTTTCTAGTCTCACAAACCCCATTCTAGTCCTCCCAAATGGAAAGCCAGCAGTCTTTAAGCAGTTTCTCTTGTTGTTCCTGCCTCCCTGCAGATTGTGTGGGGGCAGCTCTTGCTGAGACACGTTTCCTGCAGGATCACTCAGGATAACTTACACTGCCCTAACAGGTCAGAGCCCGGTGGCTGCAACAGAGATTTCTCTCCAGTGTGTGCGTTCCCAGCAGGTCATCCGCAGCTCTGCCCACCTCTCCACCGCTCAGGACTGAGCACTGCCAGGCTCGTGTCAGCAGGAAGAGAACATGCCACAATACACGTACACACAAACGGGCACATCGCTCTTCTCCTGCTCAGCCGGGAGTTGGGAGTGGTGACAGGGTGGGGGGTGAGGGCGCAGGGGGGCAGCAGCGCTGCTCCTGTCACAATGGCTTTGCGATTCCAGGAGGAGACATTGTGAGCGATGTCAGCACAGTGAGATTTGCTGCACAACAGCCGCACTTGTGTTAGGGGGAAAAGGATGTCCTAAAGCTAATTCCATGCAGGCTTTGTGGACTCCACCCCCACCCCAGGCCAAAGCCAAAGACACCGGGAACTCCAAATCCCATCACCACCAAAGGGAAGGTGGCTGGGACCTGAGGGTGGGGTTAAGCAGCCAAGTTGGTATAAAGCCAGACACGTGGGCTTTGGCGGGGAGGGGGGGGGGTCCCCCATTTTGGCTCACCGCCAGCTCGGTCCGGCCAGCTCTGAGAGTGACTTTGGGTAGGACGCATTAAAGACTTTATTTCCCTATTTTCTCCCTGAGTTGTACATTTTCCTTATTTCCTTTTCCCTTGTAAATAAACCTTTTATTAACCTTTTGTGTGTGCCTGTAGTGGAGTATTAATAAGTCCCTTGTAAGCGCACAGGTGAGGACCCACAGCCAGGAACCCGTTCAATATCGGGGCTGTCCTATAACACTTAGAGCTCCCAGGAACTTGTGGGAGCCACTGGGCAGCACGTGCTTGGTTTTCTTGTTGCCTGCATAACCAATGTTGAGCATCAAGGTCTGCTCTCGAACTTTCTGCGCACCCTGTGATCAGTGCATCTGGATTTCCCCGTTACGTTTAATCGTGACATATTGGTCTGACTGGTGCTGGATGAATTTTTTCGTCTTTTTTTTTTTTGACAATTTAGGGCTTTCCAAAGGGTCTGAGGGCAGCCATGGCTGAAAGGGAGACGGCTGCCACCTAGCGATGGATTTTTTAATAGAGGCGGTTTTCAGTCTTACTTGAAAGTGTTTCAATGTAAACACCTGTATAAATTTCCTATCATTGCTACAATTTCCTATCATTGCTACATTTTCTTCCCTGTCCCACTCGTACAGACACTGTGATTTCATTTCGGACCTGCACAGACAATCCAGAACACTTTCTTCCTCTCAAGATCATTAACTCAATCATATCTACAAACTCCCTTTTGCCATATAAGGAAACATTCACAGGACAGGAGAGACCAGGATCTGTATATTTTGGGGGGCCATTATACTACCTACCACAACTATGGTCTACTAAGATTTTTAAATAGTTATAGTCTAACGTCATAATTCTCTTCTAGTATAACAAACAAACAGGCAGGGCCCTAGAAATTAGTCTTATTTTCTTCCAGTGCTTAAGAAGCTTAATTTCTGGGCCTCCCTGGGCATGCAGGGGTTAAAGACAGCACTATCAAGCTACTGCCACCCACTACAGCATGAGTTGGATCCCCTGCTGGCCAGGGAGCAACCCAGCTGGTGCAGCAGACCTCTCCTGTCTCCCCTGCTGC